TAGGTATTTTAAGATTACTTAATAATCTTATTTTTGTTACTATTTTACCCTTTATTAATAAAATTTTTGGACAATAATGTCTTTATTTTGAAATTATTTTACACGAATCTTGCATTATAATTTTACCTCTAATTAATTAAGTTTTTGGATAATAATATCATTATATTTAAAACAAATTGCAGGTCACCCAAGACCATTGCCGCCTGGTAGCCACCACCATCAGTAGCTGGCCAACCATCGTCTTCAATCACCATAACGATGCACAACCAGTTGAATCTGGGCGACTGTGCACTAATCTGGCCGTTTTCAGCCATATTGATGGTCGTAGATTTGGCCAAAAACGGCCAAATCCATGGTTGTAGATGCCAGAATAGATCTAGCTATTAACGGCTAGATCGATGGCCACAGATTTAGCCATTAACGATCATTGATCTAGTCGTTTCCGGCCAAATTAGCGCATAATCGGCCAGATTCTGTCTGTCGTGCACCATTCCAGCCACTTTCGACGACAGTTAGCGATGGTGGATGGTGGCCAACAATGGATTGGGATGGGTGGGGGCGATTTTGTTACAAGTTAAAGTTTTATATAAGCTGTGTGTTTTAGCAAAATTTCAAATGCAAGGGGTTAAATGAAATGATTGAAAAAATAATTTTATATTAATATTTAAAAAGGGGGGCAATTTAGTAATCTATATAACATACCCATTAATTTATCCTCCCAACCAAACATATCAATATAACATATCGACCAATTTATTCCAACTTAACCAAACACATTTTCCTAAACATTATAGTAATTTTTAAGGTAATCTATCTTTCCATTAATATAACATTTTCAATAATACAACATTCCCTGATAAAAGAAATAAGAAAACATATCAAAATTACTGAGATATTAAAAATAAAATAAAAAAAAAAAAAAAAAAAAAAACTTTGTTATCTTAATAATTTACCCAATTTTATTTTAACATACTCGAATAAAATGAATACCCCGACCAACTGTTAGATATTGTCCACTTTGTGCCCTCCTTCCGGCCTTGCCCTTCATGTGTCTCACAACTTTGCTCGGGCCTTGCCTTTCCTGGGCCTCACGGTTTTGCCTAAAACACCTCCCCTTTGGGCTCAACGTCCTTGCTGACACCTTGCTTGGGGCTACTCTAGTTTTTTGCTCGGGACTTGCCCTTCTTGTGCCTCACGGTTTTGCCCAAATCACCCCTCCCCCCTTTGGGCTCAACGTCCTCGTTGACACCCTTCTTGGGCCTACTCTGATCATCTGCACACCAACCCAACTGTCAAATATTGTCCGCTTTGGGCTCTCCTTCGGGCCTTGCCCTTCCTAGCCCTCACGATTTTGGTTTTGGGCTATCCCTAAAACGTGTCTAACAAGTTAAGAAACCTTAGGATATTTAACTAGCTCAGCCCACTCATTCACAAACGATGTGGAATGTTAACAAAAACATCTAATAAATATTTTGGGTATGTTTGTTTATATACTCAATTCTCTATTTTCATATTTTGGTCTTTGAAAAATGTGAAGCACTAATTCATTTATGTTTTTGCTCTTTGTTGTCCAAGTAAAATAAAGAAAGACATAGATCTTGTAAATCAACAGTAACATAGGTCATAGATATGAATTTTGTTGAATTATGACCAAATAGTTTGTGATTTAAATGTATAATAGCTACCACTATTTGGATATTGTGACTCGTTTTCTTTTATGTTCTCATGTAAAATAATATGTCCTTAGGAAAAGCTATTTAATAAATAATACAATTGTAAATAAAAATATAATTATATGAGTTTTATTAGGAATTAAAATATAGATTCTATTAAAAATAGAATGTCTTATATATTACCTATAAATATAGAGGTAATAACCAATTCAATATTGTGAGAGAATATGAGAACATAAGGTATTTAATGTAAAGGTTATTAGGTGTGCATTAGAAAGTGTACTGGTTGTGTATCGGGGTTTATGGTGCTGTGTACTCTTGTATATCGTGTTCATGAAATTATGTCGGCCGATTATGTCAAATCACGTAAATATTGTACCTCTTTGTATGGTGTGATTTTATTCCTATGTTATTAATCTTGAATGTATGTTTTCTGCTGTGCGATCTCCTAACAATGATAAAATTTTTAATTTTTGGATTAGCATTAAAAGGACTCTATGATTTAAAATTAAATTTACAAAAAAAAGTTTTTGATATATGTTTTTAATTCATATAAAAAAAAATACATAAACATAATTAGAGATACCATATACCTTTAAAGGGTCAAAAAATGAAAAGTCAGTATGATTTTAGATAAACAACTAGGATTAGTTGAATTAGTAGCCTAATGGATTAATTGAAGTCAAATTGACTAATTAATTTTCCAGTTAAGCAATTATATTTGATAAAACCATTATGGTTCAACAATATACAGTAGAACTTCTTTATACTCATAATGTTGAGACCAACTAAATTTATTACTACGAAAAGATTATAACTTAATAAAGGTGTAGTTACAATAATTATTTTTTATATTCAATTTTTTATTTTTTTTTATAATTCATGTATTAATAGTATTAGGATTTCAATTCATTATTTTAGTTGCATTAGGATAGTACGAAAAATGGATATCAAAGAGTTATTACATAATTAAGTTATCAGATTCGACAACTTAATTACACTAATCAAATGGATATTAATGTGTTCCTCAATCATCCAAATGAGTAACAAGTCATGTATGTTTTAACTGAAGAAAAAAACATTACTAGAATTCGACAAGAAGAGGAAGGAGATAATCTTGAGGATGATAGTATGAAAATACGAAAAGTTTCGTGTCAAGAAACTCTAAACATACTTGAGAAGTTAGAAATATTTTGATTTCAATAAGAAGGTGTTTATGTTGGCGACTTATTATGAACCCATAAGATAAAAGATGTGGTAACAACTCTATAGTATAAATCATTGTCAAACAACTTTAGATAAATAATTTATTCCATCTTAAACCTTTAATGTAACATAACATATATTTTTCAAATATATATATAATTATTACTATGTAGAGGCAAGTTCCTTAAGACGGAACCTAGAAAAATTATAACTTATTATAATGTGAAATTTATTCTTATTTATAACTAGCCCAAGTTAGGACTATAAATTTTTATGACTACATGGAGGTTATTCCTATATAGAGTATCACTATAGAGAAATTATACTGTATGTGCATTACTTAATATTAATTAAGCCTTTCTATGATTAAATTTGTTTATGCAACATAATACATATAATACTATTTAATCACTATATATTATTAAGGGTTTTAATTTTAAAAATATTCAACTTTTTGTGAGGATAAAAAAGTAATTGTATATATTTAAATTATTTATTTGATCACATATTTATATGTAAAATGGAGTTTTTTTTTTTTAGCAATGCTAAATAGACCCCACTTATTTCCTAAAAAGCCCCCATTTCCAATTTTAATTAGGAAAAAACTATAAATAAAAATAAATAAAAGGGATTGCTCCACCATTATTATTATTTTCTCTTTTTATGTCTTTTGCAAACTTTTCTATTGTTCCACCATTTTTTTTATTTTTTTTATGTATTAAAAGGGATTATTTTTTAATTATATTATCGACTATAAAACTATTATGTATGTCAGTATAGTGAAGATGTCTATTTAAAAGTTTTTAATAATGGTTGAAAATAAGAACGAAAAGCACTGAAAAAGAAAGGTTTTGATTTGATTTGAAACTAAACTGATAAATATTAATAAATAAATGAGTGCACTTTAAAGTGTAAATTACTTTTTTATTTTATTATGACGTGTATAGATATATGTTGTTATTTTGGCATGCATTTGATAATGAGTTAGGGCAGATGGCCCAATCATAAAGCTGAGCTCTTCCTATCTTCTTAGTCCAACTTTCCAATTATCACCTTCTTCTTTTTCCTCAATAAATAAAGTCTTTTATCATCCCCTTTTTTAAAAAAAAAAAAACTCTATTTTATTATCCTATTTAAAATAATCAGTAAAAAACGTGTTTATTTTAATATTGATGGAATTAAATTCAAAATTCAATCCTATTTTATTTAACTCAAAACATTTAACAATTAAAGTTTATAAAATGACAAAAACACCCTCACCCACCCAAACCACTATTAGTTGCTAGCAACCACCGCCGGTCGCCAGTCGTCGCCACTACCACCATCGGCGATAGAACGATGCACGACCAGTCAGATCTAACAGGTCATGTACCATTCTGACGACTGCCAGCTACCATCCGATGGTGGTGGCAAGCTATTGACAGTCGGTTGGGTGGGTGAAGTGTTTTTGTTAATTTATAAGTTTTTATTGTGAGGGTGTTTAGCTAAATTAACAAATATAGAGAGTTAAAAAATAATCTAAATATTTTCAGAAAATATTTTTAAAAAATATACCAAACACATTCTTAAAATCTTATCCTATTTGATTTAATCATATTCTATCATATTCAGAATAGTTTTTTCATAATATCACATTTCAAATAATGTACTAAACAGACCCATTATTATTCTAATATTTTATTTAATAAAATAAATAAAATGATAAACATAAAATATAGTTTGATTAAGGAATTATAATCTTACTCGTAAAAAAATTCACACACACACACACACACACACACACACATATATATATATATATATATATATATAATTTTCTGGTTTAAAAGGAATGAAAACTGTTGTAAAAGTGAATTACCGGATATACCCTCCAAACGATGATGTAAATAAAATAAAAAAGTGAAATGGATTAATTAACCATGATCATGAAGCAGTTGGCTTACCAGCATCAGCCATCAAACCAAACCTGTACAAGAAAATTTGATCACAACACTCTACCTAATAAAAAATACATAACACGTAAGGTAACCAACCCCGACACGGGGCCGGGAGGGGCAAAATAGGAACCCCAAAAAACTCAACTTTAAAAAGGGCAATTACGAAAGTTAAAAAAAGAAAGAAAGAAAAAAAGGGAGAGAGAGAAGAGTCTTCTATTGAATCGAACCGACGCCACACCACAGAGCTTGCAAAAAAGCAGGAAAACCAAAAGCAAAGCATTAACTAGAAACCAATTTCAAAATCATATTTCTCGTTTTTGTTTTTTTAAATCTTCAAAACGTACATCATCGAGATTCAATAAAAAATAAGTTTAACTCGAATTGGAAATCAAATCGAAACAAATCAAATCAAATCACACGGTTGATACAAAGATGTCGTGTTCATCGTCATCAGGTTCGGAGGAAGACGATGAGGGAGTCGATTCCTACCGGAAGGGAGGTTATCACGCCGTTAGAATCGGCGATCCATTCGCTGGCGGTCGTTATATAGCTCAGAGGAAGCTCGGTTGGGGTCAATTCTCTACTGTCTGGCTCGCTTACGATACTCGAACCTCGGTACGTTTTGCGTTTGATTTATTTCTTTTTTTTGGATTTATTTGTTATGATTGTGATAGTATTCAACGAGATGATGCGTGATCCCGGTTCTGTTACCAGAATTTACGATCATTTTGTTAAGATAATAGTTAGTTAGCAGTAACGTTACTGCGGCTGTATCATAATGCTCTTTTGTTTATACGTTGTTGCTTTATGAACTTGCGTGATTAGTTGTAGATTTGATTAATTTTGATATATTTTTATTAATTTTATGTTTTGGTTTTGTTCACAGTTTGGTTGAGTATATCTAGATTCTGATGCTTAGATCTTCATTTTTTTAAATAATTATAATAATTTTAGGACGTAGTTTAGGATTATTTTATATTATTCGTATCAAATTCTCTTTTTATAGAAAAAAACATGGGGTCATCTTTTCGAAGGAATAAGTTTCTTGTTTCTATATTTGACTTGATATTTCCACTCCTTTATTGTAGACGATGCGATCAATGCTAATGTTAAATGATGATTTGACTGCTATAAATATGGATAAAAATGATCTACTTGGTTTTATCCTTAACAAGTAAATTTTTGTCTTGTACGTCTATTTTTTGACATGTTTGATAATGGACAAGCGTATATTTAAACTTCCATGTGTTTCATTATGGGCTTACTATCTATATCTTGTTTATTAAATATGCAGCAATGGTATAGGTATTTACAATAATCTTGATCTGCAACTTCCGAGAGAGGTTGTGGTTAATGCAAATAAGTCAAAAACACAATGTAAATAATGTTGCTTGCTGCAAAATTATGCTGTATCTGAGAGTGTAGATTATAGGACATTGAATATTTGGTCATGGAGTCTTCTTTTAAACTGTTAAAATTTTCTTTTCTTCATATTGGTAACTTGTATAGTTCATCACGGATAGAATATGGTGAGATCATTAATTAATGACATAACCATAAAATAAGAAACTCGCATGAAATCATTCCTTTGTTTGAATTCAGAACATATAAGCATTCACGAAGGTGACAGTAATTAAATTTAGGAATCCTATCCTTTCATTTGGGACTTGGCTTCCATATGCATTACATGCGTGTAATAAATATGGTGTTGTCAAGTGATCACTAACAGAAGCCTCTTGCTAAAAGACTTCGGGATGACCGTATTCTTTTATTGCTTCCATTTTCTTAATACATCAATGTGAAGTTTAAAACAATTATGGAAAATATATTCTTTATACATGCATTCTTCTCCATTTTTTTCATAAGATCATTCCTCTTCATTTCCCAGCGGTGGAGTAAATTTTTTTTGATCTGGTTCCTGCATCCTTATTATTTTCTTTTGCTTTCCCAGAGTTATGTTGCTCTTAAGATACAAAAAAGTGCTGCAGAATTCGCTCAAGCTGCTCTTCACGAGATTGGAATTCTTTCAGTTATTGCTGACGGTGACCCCTCTCATTCCAAGTTTGTTGTCCGACTGATTGACCACTTTAAGATTTCAGGGCCAAATGGGCAGCATCTTTGCATGGTCCTTGAATTTTTAGGCGATAGCTTACTCCGGCTGATCAAGTACAACCGCTACAAAGGGCTTGAATTGAATAAAGTTAGGGAGATTTGCAAATGCATTTTGACAGGTCTGGATTACTTGCATAGAGAACTTGGTATATTACACAGTGACCTAAAACCGGAAAATATTCTTCTCTGTTCCACCATTGATCCTTCCAAGGACCCAATTAGATCTGGACACAGTCCAATTCTTGAAAAGCCTGAGGGAAGCCTAAATGGTGGAGCTACCATGAATCTTATTGAGAAAAAGTTGAAGAGGAGGGCTAGGAGAGCAGTTGCCAAAATTTCAAGAAGAGCTTCAATGGGAGGGGTAGTAGCAACAAAGCCTGAGAGATCTATGGATGGGATTGATGTTAGGTGCAAGGTTGTGGACTTTGGAAATGCATGTTGGGCAGACAAGCCGTTTGCGGAAGAAATTCAAACAAGGCAGTATAGAGCTCCTGAAGTCGTACTAGGGTCAGGATATTCCTTTCCTGTTGATATGTGGTCATTTGCTTGCACAGCATTTGAACTTGCTACCGGGGACATGTTGTTTGCTCCTAAGAGTGGACAAGGCTATAGCGAAGATGAGGTAGGAAGGCATTCTATTAGTTAACTGATATCTTTGCTGGGTTATAAGTTTCCCTTTGAATTCTTTGTTTTCTAGTAAAAATTTCCATCTGAATATTGTATTATAGCAGACTGATTTCTCTTTATTCTGTGACTAATCTTTGGTTATCAAAAGAGAGAGAAACCAAAAAATAGTGAAGGGGAAACATATGCTACATGTGGAATCACATAATCTACCATAAAAAACCCTTGGTACTTCATTAAATCTGTAAAAAATCATTAGTTATCAATATGTCAAATGTCCTGTTGATTAGTCTGGTAAATTTAAAAGTATCTTACCTGTTAATCTGTTTTACATTGTTTACATTATGATGAACACACCCTCTTCGCTGCCCTGGGCGAAAGAGAAGAAAATGATAAAGAAACTGTTTATAGATGCTGATGAACTGTTCATTGGGTTGATTTTAGGATCACCTTGCACTCATGATGGAACTCCTTGGAAAGATGCCTCGAAAGGTAAGCAGATTATAGCCACAATATGTTCCATTGTTATTGACGTACCTTAATACCATTTCTCCTCTAATGCGTATATGAGCAGATAGCTATAGGAGGAATTCGGTCAAAGGATTATTTTGATCGGCATGGGGATCTTAAGAGGATTCGGAGGCTGAAGTTCTGGTCACTAGATCGATTGCTTGTTGAAAAGTACAAATTCTCTGAGACTGATGCTCGTGAGTTGGCAGAGTTTCTTTGTCCCATTCTCGATTTTGCACCAGAGAAGAGACCAACAGCACAGCAGTGTCTACAACATCCGTGGCTCAACCCCACGAATACTCCTCAAAACGAAAAGAAAAATAACCCTAAGGTGGAGAAGCTGGACGTTGGAATGAGCAAACTTCAGATTAAGGTGGGTAAATGAAGAAGGAATTGCTAATGCTACCACCACCGTCGCAGCCACCACCAGAATCAAGTCCTCCCTCGTTCCTCCTGTATGAGTATTGATTGTGATTGTCATTTTTTGGTTTGTTATATTTTTAATAAGATTAATTTTTGACTAATGATTAACTAAAATGTAAAATAGTAATGTACGTTGTGCGGAAATGACATGAAAGAGAAGTTTAACTGCAATGACGAACACTAGTGCATCTTGAATGGTACCGTTTTACGCCCTCTTACTTCTTCTTAATTGAATATCAACCTTTGTTTTGTCATCAATCAAGAATTAAGTGACAAACTGAGGCATAACTGAGAAGTGCATGAGACTTCAATATGCTTGCTTAAAGTATTTTGCTGAGGGTTGAATGTATATTGAAAAGGTTGCAGATTTGCCGGGAGGCAGATATCGTAGATAGCTCTCTTCATTGTACATTGCCTATATGAAAACTTTCAATTCAGCATGTTTTGGGTGGTGGGTATCATATAGTCATGAAGACACTTTAGTTTTGCTAATGTTCCTCTAGTCGATTTTCATTCACTGCAGTGTCATGTCATGCTTTCACCATGAAAAAGAACATAGATTCATATGTGAAATGAGTTTATTCAACGAGTGTTCCAATGATTTGAGAACGGGTTGAATGTATAAAATATCTTACTTGGTTTCATGATAGCTCTCTTCATTATGTTCCTCTAGTCTATTTTCATACACTGCAGCTTTCACCCAGAAAATCGTAGATGAGATGGTTGTTTTGGATGAGGTCGAGTCCATAGATGACGATAGATTTTCACTTTGAATCTCCATAAGTGAAAACTTCTTTTCCAGCCTAACAGAGCTTTTACCACCACAATGGAGAGCTGAGGAGAGGACCCATGAATGAGCGGTATCTTTGCCACATTCACTCTGGGTCATTATTAAGCGTGGCAGGCAGTGGCTGCAACCAACAAAACCTTATGGTATACAAATTCAAAGTGGCCGACTTGATAGTTTGGTGGCCTCTTTTATGCCCACACACAATGATTATATAATTCAGCGCTTTTGTCCCATTTGGAAAATTGAGTCTTCCTCTTCCAACTTAAGAGAATTAGCAAAGCCTATTTCTGTCATTCTGTGCAAATTCTGATCTCCCCTCCCAAATAGAAGTGTGAAATTGGAGCACGGCCAATATTTTGTGGACCCTGATCTGATTTCTAAGCTTGCTCTAAGATTTTTACCACTTTTATTTTTTAATTAGCTTTCGGACTTGCTTTGTTTTGGTAACAAGGCAGGTTGATGAGTTCTTATACCCAAGTGGGTTGGTCCCCAACATTATTTATCATCTAGGAAAAAGGTCTCCGGACGTACATTCTATTAGTTAATGAAAAAGTGTATATATCACATAGGTTGATATGACGCGTTTTTATTAATTGATTGTATATATATCCAAAACCTAACTTCAAACGTCCGCATCTGAGATTAATTGATCATTATACAAGTAAGATCATCTTAATTAAATCTTAAAAAATCTTATCATACTAAAACCAGAAAACCATAGGGTTTTTAGTGAAATATTAGTTAATTTTTGGTGAGGGTGAGATTGGGTATAAAGGTTACTATATACACCCATAAGAGATTTGCATCTAAGATCTCAGAATGACAGAACAGGACAACCACAAACAGCTAATAAACACAATACCAAAATCAAATTTCATGTGGGCAACTAGTTAACAGTCTTTGTATTGATTATAATATCAAATAAGTCCATTCATTTCAATTAGTTACATCACGTGCCCATTTTGTTATTATTATTATTATTCCTAATCACGTAATTACGCAATCTTTGTATGTTTTGTTTATTCTTCACTAATTATTTTCAGTATGTCGGTGGCAGCTTCTTTATATACATTTAATATTTCTTTAAAGGACGATTCTTTCATAACATGACATGGGCCACCCAAGGCAACTTGGACCTAGTGCTATACGATTTTTTTTTTCTTCAATTCCAAAATTACCCTTCTACATTGGGCACTATCGTAATACTTGGCCTATAAAGACAAACGGAAATAGGTTTTATTTATTTATTTTTATTTTTATTTTTTAAGATGTGTTATCTTATGTGAATAGAGACGGAGTTACTTAATATCAGATTTCATTCCTTAGAATTTATTGTTTTCTTTATCGTTAAACCCCCATTTGTTTAACTTGACCTTCTGATCCCCCCATGTGGCCATGTCCATGTGTTGAACTCTACTTCATTTGACCCCCTCATTTGTTGTACTGAGCTTTTTTTACTGCCTCATTTGTTGAACTCTCCTTTGCCCCCCTTCCCCCACCAAATGTAATTCCTTGATTCTGCCCCTATATTTGATGTTACCTACTTACCTTATCATTTATTACGTCCACTTCCCATAAAGATGAAAATTTGAGATTATAACTTCAAATGTGTAACATTTTTCACTAAAACTATTAACTCGACAAATAGCTATTTTCATCTCTATCATTTGTATTAACTTTGAGATTTGTATCGATGATATTGTATAGAATCATAATGGTCATTTTAAGTGATTCTCAATTCAATAAAGATTGACTCATAACCCAAATTTACAAATTTTATCTCACAATTTCGACTTGACAGTTTGCAATTGGGTAGACGAGACCCATAATGAACATATTAGACTCATTTGTAAACTGCCACGTCAAGATTATAAGAGAAAGTTTATGAAATTGAGTTGTAAGTGTAATATTGTCATTCTCAATTAACGATGATGAAAAAAATATGCAAATTGTAACTTTTTATGTAAAGATAGCCAACAATTAAAAGATAGTAAATAATTACAGCGGACGCAATACTAAAAGGACTCCATGGCCCAATGGATAAGGCGCTGGTCTACGGAACCAGAGATTCTGGGTTCGATCCCCAGTGGAGTCGTCCTTTTTCCTAATATTTTTCGCCAAATTCCAATACTGATGAACAGGAACTCTGTGGTACTGGCTATCAATTATCATATATAACATTACTGTCAATATCTTTTCAAAGCCATTAATGTCAATATAACCATTTAAAACTAATCCTTCTAAGATTACAGCATAGGCCATTCACAATCCTGAAAGGTGTTACAACTCAAGAATTCATCATTCTGAATCTAAGGCCAAATTTTTTAACTTGATTATGAAATCATGCAATAAATTGAAGTAGTCATGCAAGGTAGTAAGAACATGATTGTGAAAGATAAATAAAGTTGTTCGACTTGGAACAGATTGGTTTTATTCAACTCTCTCAAATACAATCTGATCATTACATAAACATTATTGTGTCTTGAGCAAATCCCAGTTCCCCAACATTGTATCATCAAAATTACTAATGAAAACTGCAAGACAGGACTATTGAATCTCAAACCCTAATTCTTGTATGGCAAAAATTTCAATATAAGCAAGCAACAAGAAAGAATAACTTGCTATGAGTACAAACCAAAGAAATTAACATTAACTTTGAAAAGATGCAAAAGATCAATATAGTGCTATCTAATATTGCATCCCTCTCTTATCTCAAACTCCAAGCTTTGTTGTCATGTAAAGCAGCTGGCACTTTATCAAATGTAAAAGGTAAAAGCAAGCATTTAAACATTAAACATATACAGGGCAATTCAACTTCCTTACAAAGCCAGAGATGAGCAAAAAGATCAAATCAAAAGAAGCCGTTTCTATAAAAAGAGCATCACAAATCCTACCTCAGCTAACAACTTCTATCATGGTAGTCACCTGTCTCCACAACAAGATTTAAACATTATGATTGCACGACTTTGTTTTGTTTGACGCATGCAGGTGCCTTGAACTCCTGGCATTTCCATGTTGGTGTAGGTTCGATTGGCATCACACCGTCGGAAGAAGGCTCCAGAGAAAACAAAGGCATGTTACCAGGGGGTGGATTACCCATGTTCTTATCAGCCAGCGGAGAAGCTCTACTAATCAGTTCCTCTTTAGGATTTACTCTGTCCCTGTAGTTGCAAATGCTTAAGGGCAACTTTTTTAACTTGAGCCTTCCCCTCTTTTTACCAGGAGAATTTGTGTCTTCCAAATTTTTCTCCTTTAAGTGACTTGATTCCGCTATCCCACTGTCCCTCTCTACTTGGCCAGATTTTTCATATTTAGAAGCCTTTTCGTCTGCTCTAACTGTGTATGCCTCCCGAGTGGAGACCTGATTTTCAGAGTCCAACTTGCCTTCTACAGCATGTCCACTGGATGCACAAGCTGGATTTCCTCTCAAGATCAAAAGCCCATTGGGAACCCTAACTTTCTCAGAGGTGTGCAAGTTTTTAGGCCTCTTATGTTTATGACCTTTCAAATCAGAACTTGAAAAGTTCTTTGAGATTCTGGGAGAGCTGTTCATAACTCGATGCAACCTTCGGGCTAGTTCTTCATCACTCTTATTATTCTCAATGGATTGATGCTTTTTGTACAAAAGCTGAACAGGAACATGCTTCTTAAACTTATTCTTTTTCAAGCATCTCTCCTTGGAAGCCATCTCTTCGTTAAAAGAAGCAACCAAGTCTAAAGCACTCTTAGCAGCAGTAATCGCTTTTGTGGCAACAGCAGCCTTCTCCTCGGCAGCAGCTCTTGCATCCTTTGCAGCCTCAATCGCAGTGATAGCTGCAGATTGAGCCAACTCTGCAACCTCCTCATGTGAAAAAGTTGAATTATTCATTGTCGAATTCAATAAATTGTTAAGACGGGCATTAAATTCAATTGAAAATTCACTTGAATATTCACTTGAATAAGGATTATAAGGAGGAGATGAAGAAGAAGCCACTGCTGGTGGAGGTGAAGCGCCATCACCATCACCATCACCATTTCCATTGGCATCAGAACTCTGTTTCTTGAATCCAGCAAGAAGACGCTTTCGGGGAGGCAAAAGGACATCAGCATCCAAGTGGTTGATGTCACAAATATTAGCCTCCATTATTCCTCGGTAATCAAACCCTAGACACCCAAATGATGGAAAATTCTCTAAACCGACGATATGATCACCCCAACTACATTCACACTAAAACAAGATGAACCAATACTCAGTTAGAATTAAGCCTATAGCCAAACCCTAAACAAAATCTAAATCACTTAAAAAACCACAGAGACTTTATAAAAAATTATTCAGAACCAGCATAGATTTAACCACACTTTGCAACTGAATCAGATTTCAGCAATGCTCAATTTTTACAAACAGAATCCAACAAACCAAATATAAACGAATAAAAACTTTGGAACCCTACACTTCATTTCCATTCAAGATTTACAATACAAAATAAAAAAAACCAACTTTAACTAAATTCCACAATCATTTTATCAGATTTGAAGATTACGTTCTTCTCTTATCTTAAAAACCAAGTAATCCACAATGCAAAAGCTCAAGTTTGATTCTATCCCACCTTCACAACCATCCAACCAAACCACCATTAAAATCCAAAACTCATCAACACAACAAGTAAAGATCAAAACACAAAAGAATTCACACAAACAAGCACCATGCACAGAACTCAACACAAACAGTCAAGACAGTTATTAAGAAAAAAAAAAAAAACAAGAGAATTCCTTTATTCCCATCTGAATTACAATCCCACCCACCAAATAACACAACAATCCGGAACAACAGAAGCTTGATTCAATGGAATTACGTGAATCAGTTCAAATTCAGGGCCATTTTACGTGAAATTAAACAAGGGTAACAGCTGAATTTTAATAACAATATAGGCGAGCGAACCTGATGATATATCAAATGATGTCTTGATGTTAGGTGTTGTGAAAGATATAGAAGAAGAAGAAAGAAAGAAACGGCTGAGTTGAAATTAGGGTTTTCGATAAAAGGAGAAGAACAAATCCAGGGAGTTGAAGAAAAATATAAAAGAGACGAGAAAGAAGATCTTGCGTTGTCTATTTGTTTAGTTTATATATGTTAGAATTTATTTTTTTTCAATTTTTTTAATATTTTTGATTGGTTCTGATTCTAGAAACCCATTAAACTAACACACCTTCATCACCACTACCATAGTTTTAATCTTGTCCTTTTCTTACAACTCCCCTCCCTCTTGTCCCTTAATTACATCAACACCACCCCTTCTCTCTTATGATAAATTCATTTCATAATTAGGGTAACTAAACTTGTCCTTTTTTTCTTAAACCAAGGTGTTCGGATAAGTTTACACGTACTTTAATTAAATATTTCAGAATAAACTAGCACAGTAACCCACCCGTCACAACTCCCTACTTAAATCGTGAATGCTCAGATAGAGAATCGAACCCAAAACTATACGCCTATCTACACTATCTCTGATTCGCTCTAACCATTTGAACTATCTATAAATGGGTCCTTGAATTTGATTTAAAACTGAGTTCTCAAACATTAAAATATCTACTTGTTTATATTAAAAGATTAGGTACCATCAAGGGATATGAAAACAAATTAAGCAACTTGCTTAGTTAAACTTATCACACTATTTCTAATCATGACTCAAATATCTTTTATATTTTCTTCTTATTTACTTTACTTGTTTTAGTTGCCAAAAGAGATAAAAGGGTATTTTAATAATTACAAAATGACGTGATATTATACTAGGGTTTTAGATAAATAACACTTACGTCAAACTTAAAAATACGTTTTTAAATATAAATAATATATAATTATCTATGTTTTGTCAAATTTTATTTAATTTAGTTTTAATAATGTATGTTAAATCTATCATTTTTAGATTAAATATGGTAAAAGGATATCAAAATTAGGTTATTAATCAAAAAGGGATAAAGGGTAATCTAGTAATTTCAAAATTTCTCTTCTGGGTTTGAGAATGGATAATAAGTATTTTACCCGGGAGAGCAAAAAATTAATTACGGCAGTCAAAGTTTAATTAATTAATAAAAAAAGAAAATCATTAACTCAGTGGACACGTGTCGGTCGATGAGACAAGACAACTAACACCCTCACGTGTGATTTCATCAACACAAGTCTTCGGAAAAAACAAGATACGCTTACGGCGCACATTAGCTTAGTTCGTTACGCATAGTTACATAAACCGCCTTTTTTGTTTCTCCTTTGAGGTTTCAAAACTCCCCCACCTGAAAAAGGAGAGAAACTTTTAGGTCAATGGGGACTATCAAAAGATTACCAGAGACTGTTCGCAATACGGTGCGTTCTGGGGTTGTCTTGTTTGATCTAACTCGGGTTGTGGAGGAGCTCGTTTTTAATAGCCTCGATGCTGGTGCAACCAAGGTACTTACTTTGTGCTGAGAAATTGTTCCAATTTTTTAGTTACATCTGGGTTTTTGAAAATTCACTTGAAATGTGAAATTTTTGTTGCTACTTTACCACTGAAGCTAGGTTTTTGGACATTTGTTTGCTGTTTCAGGTGTCAGTCTTTGTGGGTGTAGGGACTTCTTTTGTGAAAGTAGTGGATAATGGTAAGTATTTTAGTAAACTTTTGTGGGTTAAAGTTGATAATTTGTGTAGTTGATTCTGTTTTTTGTGTTTTCAGGTTGTGGTATTTCTCGAGATGGGTTGATGCTGTTGGGAGAAAGATATGGTAGTTGAATTATTGGTTTTTTTATTTATTTATTTATTTTAGGAGTTTTTGCTAGTTTTCATATAGTTTAGTGATAATGGTTGTGTGTTGTGTTTACAATTTGTTGATAGCAACATCAAAACTTCAGCATTTGGCTGATATGGATGCTGCAAGTAGGACATTTGGATATCGTGGAGAAGCATTGGCTTCTATTTCGGACGTTTCATTGTTAGAAATTATGACAAAAGCGTATGGGAGGCCGAATGGATATTGCAAGGTCATGAAGGTATGTTTGTATTTTTATGGGTTTTTTAAGTCTATAAGAAAATCTTTGTCATCGCTGCTATTTTTGGCTAGATTCATTTTTGTTTAAGCATTTGACCATTCTTTACAGGGATCCAAGTGTTTGTATCTTGGAATTGATGATGATAGGAAAGAAGTCGGCACAACAGGTAAAATATTGTTAGCATGTTACTTGGAACTTCCATTTCATGAGAAGGAATTTTGTCTTTCTCCCTGGTGCTTAACTATCAGAAAGTAAACATCTAATACAGTAATGACTTGGCTTCTTTCAGTTGTTGCTCGTGATTTATTTTACAACCAACCAGTTCGGAGGAAATATATGCAATCCAGGTTTTTTTTTTTCTACTTTAGTTCATGGTGATGGTTCTCAAATTTCTCTAGCCAATTTTTTTTTTCTTTTTTTTTTTTTTTTTTTGCTAGCAATGCTTTTTACTGACTTGATGTGCATGTGATTTGCATTACTACATTGGAAGCCCAAAGAAGGTCTTGCATTTGGTCAAAAAATGTGTATTCCGGATTGCCCTTGTGCATTCCAAGGCTTCATTCAAAGTTGTTGACATTGAAAGGTTTTTTCCTGTCACAATTCTAATTTAGAGCTTGCATGCGTTGTTTTGTTTGTTTATTGACATTTTATTTCTTTGTTTCAGTGAGGATGAGCTCCTCAGCACACATTTTGCTTCTTCTCCACTGTCACTATTGAGGAGTGGCTTTGGGATTGAAGATTCCAGTTTTCTTCATGAAATAAGTGCTAAGGATGGTGTATTAAGAATTTCTGGCTACATATCCAGTCCTTGTGATAGTTTCTCCATGAAGGTATAGCAATTTATATCAAATAACTGACTGAAAAACTGTATTAATTATACTTTCTTTTGGTTTTCCCTCTTTCTCATGATAGGATATTGTTTTTTGCAGACCTTTCAATATGTCTGTATCCATGTCTGTTTAAATCCACTATTGATATGCAGTTTTGTTTGCTATCTTGGGATATAGAGGATTTGGTACATCGTGTTTGGTTGTTGACCTTCATAATGGCAGATATCAACTCACGATTCATATGCAAAGGTCCTATTCACAAATTGGTGAATAACTTGGCCTCTAATTTTGACTGTTTGGATTCATGGAAGGCAAATAATGGATCCCAAAAAGGAAAGAAAAGTAGGTCTCAAGTATGTCCAACCTACATTTTGAATTTAGGTTGCCCGCAGGCTCTATATGATTTAACCTTTGAACCATCAAAGACATATGTTGTATTCAAGGTAATCCTTTTCATGTCTGATCATAAATTATGACCTAATTATATACATGTAATTAACATCTTCAAGATTTTAAACCCTAAATCCTAAGGCTTAAAAATTCTTTGTTCGCCACTGAATTTTTTATGTCTCTACCTTTTGCCAGGACTGGGAACCTGTACTTACCTTGATTGAGAAGGCTGTTCAGACTGTCTGGATGAAAGATATAGTGTATGGTATACCCACTCACCTGTAACTTTCTTGTTATGTAATTGCCTTCGTAAAATGACATTTACGATGATTATTTAACTTTTGAGACGTTTCCAGGAGAGTCCTTTAGTCATGCAGCTGATAAACTAGGAAAAGATGAACTGTGGAAGAAACATGACAACCTCATATCAGCTGGAGGTAACATTCATAGTCTTGAGCTGTTTAGATTAGGATTTTTTCATTAAATGGGAAAAGCTATCAGGGTAAAAAGCTTCATGATTAACTTTGGAATTATTTTATTTTTTACTTATCTTTCATATCCAAGGAATTTTTTCCCCTTTTGTTGCTAGAGTTTTTTGACGGAGATGGGGATGCTGAATTTGCATTAGAGACTAGCAGGTTCCCAATTGATCAGGCTTCTTTTCGCCTTCCCTCCTCTTTGGAGAAGCTCACCAAAAACAACAGCCATTTGTATCATGGGGAACGTGAAAGAACCACTTTTCGGGAGTTTCAGATAGATACTGCAGAACTTGACGAGAAAAATACAGAGATGGAATTTGTTTGTCAGAGTGACTATTCTTTTCGATCTTCTGATGGTTCATTCACTGAATGGTTAACTTCAGTTCCCCAGAGGGAGGTTCAGATAGATACTGCAGAACTTGAGGAGAAAAATACGGAGATGGAATCTTTTTGTCAAACTGACTATTCTTTTCAATCTTCAGATTCTTTGTTTGCCAGATGCTTAACCACAGTTCCCCAGAACATTGACCAGCATCCTTGGACAGCTGATATTTATTCTTCATCTAAAGAAGATTATTTGTTGGATAATAGCTTCTCAGCTTCTGGAAAATCTAATACTTGTGTGGAGGATGAGTTGATGAGTTTTCAATTTGGGAAAGAGTACGTTAAAATTGAACCTGCTGTGAGCAGTGGACTGTCAGAAAATGCATTAAATTTTGATAGGGATGAATTTAGCCATGAATTAGAGACAAACATGAATATCAAAAAGCCTTATCTGTCAAGTTGCTCCTCAGGGAAAGGCCTGCCATTTGGTGGGGCTTCATTCGCTGGTGTGGAAGAATTTGAATGTCTGATTGATAGATTCAAGTACAAACGCAGGAGGATTTTGTCTGATGAAAGAGATGATATCCTGGAAGTTGATGCAAGTGACCAAGGTTCTGATTTATATTCAAAGAGTTTATGGCAGGATGAGGCATCCTGTGCTCAGCATGTCCCCAAAGTCATGAGTAAACGAGACATACCAACTAGTTTTGATCTTCTGTCAAGAGTTTCTCCAAAGACATTTCCATCTTATGGCGAGTCTTTTACTGAAGAGACTAGCCTCCTCTCAGATTCAAACACACGACTGGGGAAATCAGGCTCAGGTCATCGGTCCTTAAATTCTGAATGGTGCAACAGAATCTCAGATCCCTTCTATCAAGCTGCTTCTTGGGATGTTGGACATTTTGACAATAAAAATGGTCTTGAAGGAAGCTCCAGATTGGGTAAAGGGGCTAATTACGGGCAATTAGACGATACTCTAGAAAACTGCAATTTTGGTTATGACATTAGGTTGAAGAGCACCAACCAAGAAAACTGCACCTCTATTCACACAAGTACTGCATTGGATTTTAAGGATTATCATCAGTCTAGCGAATACTTCTTCAAATTGCTTCAGGAACAAAATCTTCCTAATAGATTCTCCCCAGAACATTCTGATATGTTAGTTGACGAGACAGACTGGTTACGCACTGTCTCATATGGTCAAGATTTTAGTAAAAATGAAAACCTAAGGCATCAGTTTAGATATGATAACCGTAAACCAAATCCTATTTCAAAAGAAAGGTCAAGAAGAAGCCGTTCTGCTCCACCTTTTCACAGACATAAGAGGAGGTTTATCTCCTTAAGTCATTGTTCAAAAATGCAAGCTGGAGAATCAAATATTAACACCTTCCATTGTGCTCTAACTTCTCCAGGTGGTTGTCCTGATATGTATTGTTCTTATGAGACTTGGCACAATGATGCGAGATTAAATATTATGTCTCTATTTTTGCAGAAGCTGGTCTGATGAAGAATCTCCATCGATCTTCTGGCGAATGTCATCCAAACTTAAACTCAAGTTCTGAGGAGGACTTGGAGTTAAGCATGAGGTGCTACAATTTTTTTATAGTGCCCAAATAAGTTGTTTTGAAGTTGCAAATTAATTTTTTTTCTAACCCTCGCATATGAGCAGACCAACTATTTTGAAGAAGCCAGATACCGTGATAAACATGAAGAAAACTCAAAAAGTTGAAAATTTTAAGCAATTGCAATGTTTGCAGGCTCACCATGCAGCTAATATTAAAGGTAATTATGCTTTTTTCGGCTGAAGTTGGACTTCGTTTTAGGTTTAAGGATGGTAATCATATCGAAGGAGCTTGTATAAATGTGAAGTTATAGCAGGAACTGTCAATGTTACAAATTATAAAAACTTATAGAGCAGCTTGTTTCTTATTCTCAACTTATTTTCAAAGAACTCTGATGAGAATAGTTGTGTTAATTGACAAACTGTAATGAATCCAAATTATGCCTTTTGTTTTTGAAAAAATTTCCCCATTATTAAAATATGGCTTGTACTCCTGGAAAACATAAGAATTTTTTGTCTCAATTGATATATTACCAAGCAATTATCTCCTTTTCAGACTTTATCTCTAAGGAAATTCTGGATTCAATAGATTCTGGGACCAAATGGCGGAATAGCTGTCCACAGGCAACAGTTGAGGTGCTTTTATTATTTGATTCCGTTTTCTATGGGTTTCTTTTAGTGCAGATAAGTTTTACGTGATTGTAAATTAGGCTTCAATAATTTTTATCTTCTTTGTTTGGTCAGAATAACAACAGATCAAGTGATATTGACAATCAAGATAATATCCTTGACATCTCTTCGGGACTCCTGCATCTTGCTGGTGATTCATTGATTCCTGAATCTATCAGTAAGAATTGCCTTGAATATGCCAAAGTTCTCCAACAGGTGGATAAGAAATTCATCCCAATAGTGGCTGGTGGAACACTTGCTCTTATTGATCAGGTTCATCCTACACCTCTATTTTTATTTTTATGTCTTTTGTCATAGGATGCATTTCTTGGAAAGTGTGCCTAGAGATCATATATTCTGTACAATAAATTTGCATGGATATGATCTGGATTTGACTGTTACTTAAAACACATATATGCTTTCTAAGGGAATTGGGGAACTAATGTTTGATATCAGTGTCTATCTGGTATGAATTTCTTCATTGCCTTGTTTGATGAAAACATGGGCGCTGCAGCTATGATTTAAAGCAAATTCTCATATGTAAAGATACTTGTACACTCAACCACAAACGAGTTAATATTAATACTTTGCTCATTGTGAATATGCTTTATACACACAACCATGCACAAGTTTTTTGCCTAATGTATTTATAACTGTTCCACTCTTCTGGATATTATCACTCTCAAACACACAAAAGAGGAATCCTCACTAAGAATTTCAGCATTATTGACTTTGATTATGGTCTTCTTCTGCAGCATGCTGCAGATGAAAGAATCCGACTGGAAGAACTTCGTAGAAAGGTAAAGATTATATTGTAATTTAAATTTGCAAAATTTGTATCTAGTTCAACTTATAGGACTTAGTTGAATGTTTAGGTGTTATCTGAGGAAGGGAAGACAGTTACCTATCTAGATGCTGAACAAGAGCTGGTATGTTTTTCCAAAAATTTAACGCTATATAAGGTTTGCTGCAGGCCTGCTAAGATTGATTTTGCATGGTCTATGATCCTTAATATATAATAACAGGTCCTTCCAGAGATTGGGTATCAGTTACTGCATAACTATGCTCAACAGATGAAAGATTGGGGATGGATCTGCAATATTCACAATCAAGGTTCGAGGTCCTTCAAAAAGTAAATCTCTATCTATCTAAGACTGCTTTCATACTTAAATAGCATCTAAGTGAAAAACATAAAATTGATGTCAGTCTCTTGAGTGACATCCAATTACAGAGATTGATGTTATTGGTTGGAATGAATTGAAATAGGGATTTTGCCAGCTGTAATGTTTCCTACATGTGTTTGTAGAAGTGTTGAGGGTTCTAAGTGTGGTTGATTCACATGTTCTATTACTTCATATAGTTCATCAAATTATATTCGTTGATTATTACTTATCATTTTGAGTGGGGTTTGTGACTTGAAACACGTGTTTAGGAATTTGAATCTCCTTCATCAGCGGCCAACTATTGTGACACTTCTTGCAGTAAGCACTGTCACTTCCTATTTGACTTTATTTATTTTCTTTCTGCTAGTTGAATTCTTGTTGGGCGAGAAATTTATTATCTATTTTTAACTTTGTGGATCTACGGTTGGAAATGATTCTTTGAAACTTATAGCTGATCTCTTGTTCACTTTTAATGTGCAAAGTAGGCTTCTTTTGAGCTGTTCGTTTCATTGTTAATATAATCGTTTCATGTAACATGGCATGCAGGTACCTTGTATTCTAGGTGTCAATTTATCTGATGTAGACCTTTTAGAATTTCTTCAGCAGGTAAGCTAGAAACTTCATCTCATTTTTAACCATTCCTCTTATTATTGTTTTTGTCTCTTTTCATATTTACTGTTTCTAACTCTAGTTTGTATTGCACTTCTAGCTTGCTGACACAGATGGATCATCAACCGTACCTCCTGCTGTTCTTCGAGTCCTCAATTCCAAAGCATGCAGAGGTACATGCTTAGTCTTGGTAGACATGCTTGCCATGTGGCGTGATTAAATGTAAAACTTGTCCCTGTCAGTTTTCACTGACATACGACGAATATGTGATCGTAAATCCTTTCTAGCAAAATACTTCTACATGGACAAGTACTACTCTGGAGACGCAATACGTCACCAGGCACATCTAGGATTTCTTTTCCCCCTTATGCTACATTTCACCAAGTCCAGTCTGTTAGCCAAATGTGCCAATTTTTATTTCTTTGAACTCGTTTTTTCTTTTCTAAGTTGTGCTGTTACAACTTGTATGTTGGCAGAATTTTTTTCTCTCTCTAATTTCCTCCCAACTTTTTTAACGAACTAAATTTATGGAACTGGTTTTTTTGGATTGTTAAGGAGCAATCATGTTTGGAGATTCTTTGCTACCTTCAGAATGTTCACTAATTGTCGAAGAACTAAAGCATACCTCTCTGTGTTTCCAAGTAAGTTAAGCTTAGATGAAATTTTCGTGGAAGTGATATCGTGAACTTTGTAGACTTTCTTGTTTAAGTGAGAGATTTTTTGGATAATTAGAAGATATTTTTTTTGCAGTGTGCTCATGGGCGACCAACAACAGTCCCGCTTGTCCACTTGGAGGCATTGCATAAACAGATAGCTCAGCTCAGAGTATTGAATGATAATTCAAGTGAGTCATGGCATGGGTTGCATCGACATGAAATGAGTCTTGAACGTGCAAATCAGCGTTTACGTGCAGCTAGAGGATAGTGTTCTGTATATGTAATTGAGACATTCATTCAATGTAAATTCATTATCATTCTTTTTTCCAGTTTATAGCTTTATCCTTATACGATGATTCATCCTGTAATAACAGATTTTGTATGTAATAAAACATAATTTCCTCTCTTCTGTTTCTTGTTAACTTTTTTTCTGCTCTATGGGTGTGCAGCATCTTAAATAACCCATCTTGAATATGAGATTTGACTCTGGTTAATGTAAGGGTTTCGTTTCATCTGCATGAGATCAGTAAATGTATAAATCGTTTAACTTCATTTCAGATGAACTAGTTTAGGCGTTTATCTTTTCAGTAGGAACTACAATGTTGCATGTATATGTTGAGATCAACTGATTCTTGCATTTGCTTAGTCACCCTCTTCAAAAACAGACAACAATAAGATAATTGAGAGGCGACACCAATTTTTTTTTTTAACTTTCTATTAAACTGAAAGATAACTATTAAGAAAGAAACTATCATAGAAGATCCAAGTAAAGCCTCCTGAACTATCGCTAGCAGTATCATAATGGGGTTGCACATTGATTATAAAACAAATGTACATGCAACAAGTTAGTGTACAGTGTTATGACACTCATTGAAGCTTGTTAAGTCTGCAGATGCATTTCACCTTGATCAGAACTCAAGCTTGTAAGTTCATCTTCTTTGAAAAGTTTGATTTAACGCTGCCCGTTCAGCGAACAGACTTACTCCAACAATCTCAAACAACAGGACCTGATATTCTACATAAAGTGGAGTGGTTGAATTGACAACAGTAAGTTGGTTGAACTCGACGACCATGCACCTCCACTTATCCCATAATGTGTATTGCCCACAAGTGGTTCTCCATTAAATCACATTTGTTGATATACAACTCTATAAAATCATGAACCATCATCCGTATCTAGTCCTTTTTTATCATCAATGTTGGCACACAGAGCCTTCCAGATGGGAACTAACATCTTTACTGGTGGACGTAATTCCTGAATAATAGATTCAAAGTTTTTATGAACCAAAAAAAAACCCATAGGCAACAATAGAATTACATTAAGCTGGTCAATAATCCGTCTATTTTTTTTTTTCTTTTTTTGTCTTTATTGTCCTAAATTGCCTACTGCTAAATCTTAACCCACATGCATTTTCATAGCCATCCGTTTAATAAAAGTTTATTTTGAAACAAAGATGAATTTTACCTGGAACACAAGCATCAATTCTCCTTCATCACGTACAACTAATGATAGGCGAAGTGTTGAGGGTTCAAGTTTGGTTGATTCACTGTTCTATTACTTCATATAGTTCATCAAATTATATTCATTGATTATACTTATCATTTTGAGTGGGGTTTGTGACTTGAAACACGTGTTTAGGAATTTGAATCTCCTTCACACAAGTACTGCATTGGATTTTAAGGATTATCATCAGTCTAGCGAATACTTCTTCAAATTGCTTCAGGAACAAAATCTTCCTAATAGATTCTCCCCAGAACATTCTGATATGTTAGTTGACGAGACAGACTGGTTACGCACTGTCTCATATGGTCAAGATTTTAATAAAAATGAAAACCTAAGGCATCAGTTTAGATATGATAACCGTAAACCAAATCCTATTTCAAAAGAAAGGTCAAGAAGAAGCCGTTCTGCTCCACCTTTTCACAGACATAAGAGGAGGTTTATCTCCTTAAGTCATTGTTCAAAAATGCAAGCTGTAGAATCAAATATTAACACCTTCCATTGTGCGCAAACTTCTCCAGGTGGTTGTCCTGATATGTATTGTTCTTATGAGACTTGGCACAATGATGCGAGATTAAATATTATGTCTCTATTTTTGCAGAAGCTGGTCTGATGAAGAATCTCCATCGATCTTCTGGCGAATGTCATCCAAACTTAAACTCAAGTTCTGAGGAGGACTTGGAGTTAAGCATGAGGTGCTACAATTTTTTTATAGTGCCCAAATAAGTTGTTTTGAAGTTGCAAATTAATTTTTTTTCTAACCCTCGCATATGAGCAGACCAACTATTTTGAAGAAGCCAGATACCGTGATAAACATGAAGAAAACTCAAAAAGTTGAAAATTTTAAGCAATTGCAATGTTTGCAGGCTCACCATGCAGCTAATATTAAAGGTAATTATGCTTTTTTCGGCTGAAGTTGGACTTCGTTTTAGGTTTAAGGATGGTAATCATATCGAAGGAGCTTGTATAAATGTGAAGTTATAGCAGGAACTGTCAATGTTACAAATTATAAAAACTTATAGAGCAGCTTGTTTCTTATTCTCAACTTATTTTCAAAGAACTCTGATGAGAATAGTTGTGTTAATTGACAAACTGTAATGAATCCAAATTATGCCTTTTGTTTTTGAAAAAATTTCCCCATTATTAAAATATGGCTTGTACTCCTGGAAAACATAAGAATTTTTTGTCTCAATTGATATATTACCAAGCAATTATCTCCTTTTCAGACTTTATCTCTGAGGAAATTCTGGATCCAATAGATTCTGGGACCAAATGGCGGAATAGCTGTCCACAGATAACAGTTGAGGTGCTTTTATTATTTGATTCCGTTTGCTATGGGTTTCTTTTAGTGCAGATAAGTTTTACGTGATTGGAAATTAGGCATCAATAATTTTTATCTTCTTTGTTTGGTCAGAATAACAACAGATCAATTGATATTGACAATCAAGATAATATCCTTGACATCTCTTCGGGACTCCTGCATCTTGCTGGTGATTCATTGATTCCTGAATCTATCAGTAAGAATTGCCTTGAATATGCCAAAGTTCTCCAACAGGTGGATAAGAAATTCATCCCAATAGTGGCTGGTGGAACACTTGCTCTTATTGATCAGGTTCATCCTACACCTCTATTTTTATTTTTATGTCTTTTGTCATAGGATGCATTTTCTTGGAAAGTGTGCCTAGAGATCATATATTCTGTACAATAAATTTGCATGGATATGATCTAGATTTGACTGTTACTTAAAACACATATATGCTTTCTAAGGGAATTGGGGAACTAATGTTTGATATCAGTGTCTATCTGGTATGAATTTCTTCATTGCCTTGTTTGATGAAAACATGGGCGCCGCAGCTATGATTTAAAGCAAATTCTCATATGTAAAGATACTTGTACACTCAACCACAAATGAGTTAATATTAATACTTTGCTCATTGTGAATATGCTTTATACACACAACCATGCGCAAGTTTTTTGCCTAATGCATTTATAACTGTTCCACTCTTCTGGATATTATCACTCTCAAACACACAAAAAGAGGAATCCTCACTAAGAATTTCAGCGTTATTGACTTTGATTATGGTCTTCTTCTGCAGCATGCTGCAGATGAAAGAATTCGACTGGAAGAACTTCGTAGAAAGGTAAAGATTATATTGTAATTTAAATTTGCAAAATTTATATCTATTTCAACTCATAGGACTTAGTTGAATGTTTAGGTGTTATCTGAGGAAGGGAAGACAGTTACCTATCTAGATGCTGAACAAGAGCTGGTATGTTTTTCCAAAAATTTAATGCTATATAAGGTTTGCTGCAGGCCTGCTAAGATTGATTTTACATGGTCTATGATCCTTAATATATAATAACAGGTCCTTCCAGAGATTGGGTATCAGTTACTGCATAACTATGCTCAACAGATGAAAGATTGGGGATGGATCTGCAATATTCACAATCAAGGTTCGAGGTCTTTCAAAAAGTAAATCTCTATCTGTCTAAGACTGCTTTCATACTTAAATAGCATCTAAGTGAAAAACATAAAATTGATGTCAGTCTCTTGAGTGACATCCAATTACAGAGATTGATGTTATTGGTTGGAATGAATTGAAATAGGGATTTTGCCAGCTGTAATGTTTCCTACATGTGTTTGTAGAAGTGTTGAGGGTTCTAAGTTTGGTTGATTCACATGTTCTATTACTTCATATAGTTCATCAAATTATATTCATTGATTAGTACTTATCATTTTGAGTGGGGTTTGTGACTTGAAACACGTGTTTAGGAATTTGAATCTCCTTCATCAGCGGCCAACTATTGTGACACTTCTTGCAGTAAGCACTGTCACTTCCTATTTGACTTTATTTATTTTCTTTCTGCTAGTTGAATTCTTGTTGGGCGAGAAATTTATTATCTATTTTTAACTTTGTGGATCTACGGTTGGAAATGATTCTTTGAAACTTATAGCTGATCTCTTGTTCACTTTTAATGTGCAAAGTAGGCTTCTTTTGAGCTGTTCGTTTCATTGTTAATATAATCGTTTCATGTAACATGGCATGCAGGTACCTTGTATTCTAGGTGTCAATTTATCTGATGTAGACCTTTTAGAATTTCTTCAGCAGGTAAGCTAGAAACTTCATCTCATTTTTAACCATTCCTCTTATTATTGTTTTTGTCTCTTTTCATATTTACTGTTTCTAACTCTAGTTTGTATTGCACTTCTAGCTTGCTGACACAGATGGATCATCAACCGTACCTCCTGCTGTTCTTCGAGTCCTCAATTCCAAAGCATGCAGAGGTACATGCTTAGTCTTGGTAGACATGCTTGCCATGTGGCGTGATTAAATGTAAAACTTGTCCCTGTCAGTTTTCACTGACATACGACGAATATGTGATCGTAAATCCTTTCTAGCAAAATACTTCTACATGGACAAGTACTACTCTGGAGACGCAATACGTCACCAGGCACATCTAGGATTTCTTTTCCCCCTTATGCTACATTTCACCAAGTCCAGTCTGTTAGCCAAATGTGCCAATTTTTATTTCTTTGAACTCGTTTTTTCTTTTCTAAGTTGTGCTGTTACAACTTGTATGTTGGCAGAATTTTTTTCTCTCTCTAATTTCCTCCCAACTTTTTTAACGAACTAAATTTATGGAACTGGTTTTTTTGGATTGTTAAGGAGCAATCATGTTTGGAGATTCTTTGCTACCTTCAGAATGTTCACTAATTGTCGAAGAACTAAAGCATACCTCTCTGTGTTTCCAAGTAAGTTAAGCTTAGATGAAATTTTCGTGGAAGTGATATCGTGAACTTTGTAGACTTTCTTGTTTAAGTGAGAGATTTTTTGGATAATTAGAAGATATTTTTTTTGCAGTGTGCTCATGGGCGACCAACAACAGTCCCGCTTGTCCACTTGGAGGCATTGCATAAACAGATAGCTCAGCTCAGAGTATTGAATGATAATTCAAGTGAGTCATGGCATGGGTTGCATCGACATGAAATGAGTCTTGAACGTGCAAATCAGCGTTTACGTGCAGCTAGAGGATAGTGTTCTGTATATGTAATTGAGACATTCATTCAATGTAAATTCATTATCATTCTTTTTTCCAGTTTATAGCTTTATCCTTATACGATGATTCATCCTGTAATAACAGATTTTGTATGTAATAAAACATAATTTCCTCTCTTCTGTTTCTTGTTAACTTTTTTTCTGCTCTATGGGTGTGCAGCATCTTAAATAACCCATCTTGAATATGAGATTTGACTCTGGTTAATGTAAGGGTTTCGTTTCATCTGCATGAGATCAGTAAATGTATAAATCGTTTAACTTCATTTCAGATGAACTAGTTTAGGCGTTTATCTTTTCAGTAGGAACTACAATGTTGCATGTATATGTTGAGATCAACTGATTCTTGCATTTGCTTAGTCACCCTCTTCAAAAACAGACAACAATAAGATAATTGAGAGGCGACACCAATTTTTTTTTTTAACTTTCTATTAAACTGAAAGATAACTATTAAGAAAGAAACTATCATAGAAGATCCAAGTAAAGCCTCCTGAACTATCGCTAGCAGTATCATAATGGGGTTGCACATTGATTATAAAACAAATGTACATGCAACAAGTTAGTGTACAGTGTTATGACACTCATTGAAGCTTGTTAAGTCTGCAGATGCATTTCACCTTGATCAGAACTCAAGCTTGTAAGTTCATCTTCTTTGAAAAGTTTGATTTAACGCTGCCCGTTCAGCGAACAGACTTACTCCAACAATCTCAAACAACAGGACCTGATATTCTACATAAAGTGGAGTGGTTGAATTGACAACAGTAAGTTGGTTGAACTCGACGACCATGCACCTCCACTTATCCCATAATGTGTATTGCCCACAAGTGGTTCTCCATTAAATCACATTTGTTGATATACAACTCTATAAAATCATGAACCATCATCCGTATCTAGTCCTTTTTTATCATCAATGTTGGCACACAGAGCCTTCCAGATGGGAACTAACATCTTTACTGGTGGACGTAATTCCTGAATAATAGATTCAAAGTTTTTATGAACCAAAAAAAAACCCATAGGCAACAATAGAATTACATTAAGCTGGTCAATAATCCGTCTATTTTTTTTTTTCTTTTTTTGTCTTTATTGTCCTAAATTGCCTACTGCTAAATCTTAACCCACATGCATTTTCATAGCCATCCGTTTAATAAAAGTTTATTTTGAAACAAAGATGAATTTTACCTGGAACACAAGCATCAATTCTCCTTCATCACGTACAACTAATGATAGGCTCCAGTAACAAGTGATTGGAGTCACACATTCAAGCAATACAGGTCTCAAAATCTTGTCAAGGGGGAAAAACTGGCGTATAATTCTTCCGCTGAAAGTAAAAAAAACATATATGAATAATAACAATGAGGGACATGTCCTACTACAGGCAGTATAAAAATTGAAAACCACAAAGAACTGGTTCACAAAGGAAATAGATCAAAATCCTCAGCTGTCTCTACTACATTAGCTTCAAAGGCCAAGGCAAGATTAATCATGTTTGCGTGTGGCAGAAACACCACAGAATCACTTTCAGGTCCAAGGGAGAAACTATAGAGGAGAAATTTGGTCCAAGAGAATCAAGGTGCATTTGACTAACAGTTGCCAATATATTACAAGAGAAAGTTCGGACGAGAAACATGGCTCAAAAAGACTCAAAATGGATCAGCCTAAAGTTTGTAAAAAGAAGCAAGTTTCTACCCAATTTATTGCCAGACCTTAACATATGTTATTAGTAACAGTAGACACTCCCCTCTTCCATTATAATTTTTATTTGCCTGTTTAGAAAGGAACTAAATGTCCACATTATTTTGAAACACAGGGACATCTATTGCAAACATGTCCATGCGAGAAAGTTAAAACAACAAGCAGGATGAAAAGAGATAATAAAACCCAAAGAATAGTTTATACTGGTAATGCCCGTCAGAATAACTACTTAGAGATATAACATAACTTCACTACTCCAATCAATTGAAAAATATCATATCCAACTAGAAAGAAAAGAGTAAAATAGTTACCTTAAATAGTGAGTTTCAAGTTGAACTCCCAAAGCTGGCATAATTATAACAGTTTCTGAAATAACTCCAACATTAAAACAAAGTTAATTGATGCCAAATTTTTTCTCAAATTGATAAGATAAATAACTCAATCTTTTGTGATTACTCTTCAGAACATTAGCAACAGAAGTTTATTAAATTTCTAACCTTTTTCAACAGGCTTCCAAAGCAACAGCTTAATAAAGAATCCACTTAAAATAAAGCTCCATAAAAGAAAAGGAATTGATTGGTCCTGTTGTTAAAACAGTATTTACATTAGATACTAACTCAAACAACTCTACTGTAAAAATTAAATTTTGCAGAATTCATTCAAAAATCAGCACTAAATAAAAAACCCCACATGCATTTTCAAGAACTAATACAAAATTCACCATTATAATGATCATTAACGAAAAATATTCAGCATAAAATTCTGGGTACTTGTCTAAACCCTAAAAAAAAAAAAAAAATTTGAATAACACCTAGAAGCTAAGATTCACGAGAATGCTAATCTGGGAAACGAAATTGAAGCAAAAGGGTACTGAAAATTACAATGAAGATAAGAAGTTGATACCTTGGATAGAAGAAGAAACAATGATTTTGATAAAACAATGATGACGGACAGATAAATGAAGAAACGCTTCGCCCTGCTTCTTCTAACAAAAATATGGTGTATGTCAATGGCTTCAATGGGCCATTTACATTCACGCGTGTAAGTATATCTTCGATTAACAATTGAATTTTCATCCACCATTTTAATACTTCAAGCATTCCTTGTTTATAACTACGGGAAATTATGAATTCCTGCTCAACAAGAAAGTAAACAAAACCATGTACTGGGGGCTAGAGATCGAGCTCATGAAGGAAACGGCGTCGTTTCGTTTATATATGTTAAATGAGTGAAACATTATATCTCACCTTTTAAAAAATAAGCTTCTTATTTTATTTTTTAAAATTTAAAATTTATATTCAGAAATGAAAAAAGTGAAAACGGATTTGTTGTTATTTTCTTAAGATAAATATGAAATATTGTGATAACAGTAATGCTATGTCAGGTCCGCAACCCAATCTCATAACCTTCTTTCACAACCTTTGAATAACAGCTTGTAATTAATCCACTCGTAAATGAATCCTGCTTACTCACTATAGAATCATCTATCTATTTGTGAACTGACCAATTACAAACTGTTACGTCTGGGGTTGTGAGATTAAATTGTAGACATTGCATTACTATTATGATAAAAAAGAAAAAGAATTGAACAAGTATTATACACTATCTTAAAAAAAAAAAAAAAAAAAATCATTTTGGGATAAGAGTTATAAAATGTAGCATTTTTTTCTTTTTTGGTTGTAACTGGGGTGTTCGAGTTAGCTTGTGTACATCTCAATTAATCTTCGGAATCTATTGAACACCCTACAAGTCTAATGGTCAATTAAGTCACAAAATGTAATAGATTACCATTTTGTCTGACTCGAACATAAAACCTTTGGACACCCACAGTCTTGACATTCAATCAGAGGCCGAGTGTTAAGAGTGAAATAAGAGGACCTTCCAAATTAACTTGAGCAAACAAAGTAATTAATGAATGATAAACACATCCAAGAAAAGCAAGAATCAACAAATGCAAATCTGAAGACCATTCTATTAACAAAATGGAAAGAGGGGCTTTAAAATTGAAACTCAAAAGCCAATACAAAATTATATTAATGCCATACATACTGTAAAGAAAGTTCATTCTTCAAATTACATAAACCAGTTCATTTGATAAAAATATCAAACCAGAAGAAGATGAAACTTTGCTACATCAGGCATTAATGGTGTAAGTTTCAATAATCAGACTGAAGTGAAACTACCTCTTCATATCATGGCTTCTACTCATTACATAAACTTTGTCAGACAAATTAATCACAGCTAATAAAATTATTATAATGAGTCTCTGTCACCCAGCCATGCTGTAGTCTTCTGCATGCTCATAAAGATTGTAGCTCCCTCCCATTCCCATTTTTCCAGATAGGTGTTCATCTCCTGCATCAAGTAATTTTGGAGTTAATAACAGCAATGTCATCTGGATTCAAATTGGAGAAAGAACACCAAAGTTTTTCTTTAATGGAATAAGGCTTCTAAACTTAAAACTGGGAAATTTTCAGAAGTTATCTGTATTTATCATCAACCTAGAATGTTTTTATGCTAAAGAGACTAGATCACACTTAGAACCGGCTACTTTTAGCATATTCTCTTGATAAATGTAAGTAAAAGAAGTTAACTCTAATCAATCTTACCAGGAAATATGCACCATTACTTGATTGACATCTACTGACATCTTTCAGAGGACATCAAAGCTATTCTGAAGTTACTGAAATTTCAAGTTTTATTAGCCTTTTGCTTTCTTGATTGTGTAAGCTGTTTAAGATTCAAAGTTTTGGCTTGATATAAAAAATAAATCTAAACAAGTTATGCACTTACTTGCATTTGACAAAACGCCCAGAAAATGCAGTTCAGGGGCAATCTCGTTGCTTTGAAAGCAAAGATCATCAGCCCTAGGAGCTGTGTTCTGTTGGGAGCTAAAGTTTTCTGGTTTAGCCTTCTGTTCAATCATTGAATCAACCTCTGTCTCTACTTCTGATTCAGCATTAGACGATGAAGCAACTATTTGCTTCCTCTTTGATCTAGCACGTCTATTTTGGAACCAATTGTAGACATTTGTTTCAGATATTTGGCCATGCTGGCTGAGCTCAGAGGTTATCTCTTTAATCTTTTGCTTGCTTGGAGTTCCATTTCCTTGATCAAAGATGCTCTCAAGAATTTGAAGCTGCACAGGCGTCGGAGTCCACCTCTGTCTGGCCGTAATCTTGTGCCCGGAAGAAGTCATCAATGGATCACAGTAGAGATTCCCTAACCGGGCTCCTGCAAGAAAAATTCCATAACTTCGTAAAAACACTAATACAAAACACCTCTAGAACAGAGAGTCAAACTCAAACTCAAGCCAAAGTATGTTTTAGTTTACAGTTCAACGCCCAAGCCGCAACCAAATCTTCTAAAAATTTCATAGAATTTCCCAATTGCCTCCCATATGAACACCCCAAATCTGAAGTATTCATATGCACACACCATACAAAGAGGTCTGAAAATCTAGGAGACAAAACTCTACACTAGATCAAGCAACTTTAAAGTACCATAAACAGAATGAAATTGAAAAATAATTTCAATTCAACCAGTTAAGCATAGTTAACCTACCAAAACATTAAAGAGAAAATTGGCAAGTAATTCAACATCAAAATGAAAGATCAAGCTGTATATATATAAACAGAGAGAGAGAGAGAGCCTTAAATCATACAAATCATAAACAGACATTACCTTTCACATTCAACAAAAGAAGTAAAAGAGAAAGAAGGTTGAGAAATTAAAAAACCTGCAAGATCTTGCTGGGCAGAGAGGGATTTATGCATTTCAACGAGCTGATCACAAATAGTAGCGTAAACCGCAATCTGTTTCCTCAGAGTTTCAAGTTGTTCATCAGTCATAACCTTCACATACATTGCTCCATTAACACTACTTCCATTCTGATCACCTCTCTGGTTACTATTATTATTGTTGTTATTATTATTACTATTATTATTATTATTATTCTGATGATTCTCCAACGATTCTTGATTATCCCATTCCATCATCTTCTTGCTCTTGCTCACTTCACACGCAGTACAATTACATCAAGCTCAATCAAACCTTTTTTCTTTTGAGAGCTCTCCCTGTGAAACCGAAAGAGAAGTCAGTGTTTTGAGTGGGAAAAAGAAGGAAACGGACAAGAAGACAATAAAGAATAGGCGTGGAAGAAAGTGAGGCGATGATGGAAGGTGGGTTTATGTCCCCTCCGGCGTACTTTAGCACCAGCTCTTGCTTTTCAAAGCCTTTGTTTTGTCTTCTTCTTTCACTTTCTTTATGGATCATGGAAGATTAAGAATAAAGATTTCATTTTTATTATTATTAACGGTCAAAAACCACCGTTTTTCGGAAATATTTTCTTTATAAATATCAATTAATATAATAAAAAAAATAATTATTAGTTGGGGACTTATATTTACCTAACTTAGAAAAACCTGGCCGTTATGTTTGAAATTATTTTGTTATTTACTATTTAAAGATTTTTAATTTAAAAAAAATTTGAAGGTTTATCTTAATATATGCATCTTAAAATTACTATAAAAAATATGTTCATTATATTGATATATTGAAAATATGTTTTTTTTTTCTTGTCAATAAAATATTTTTTTCTAGTAAATAAAATAATTATTAGTTGGGGACTTATATTTACCTAACTTAGAAAAACCTGGCCGTTATGTTTGAAATTATTTTTTATTTAATATTTAAAGATTTTTAATTTAAAAAAAAAAAATTGAAGGTTTATCTTAATATATGCATCTTAAAATTATTATAAAAAATATGTTCATTATATTGGTATATTGAAAATATGTTTTTTTTCCTTGTAAATAAAATATGTCTTTAATGATCTTAATGTATGTTTTAGAGACACATGTTAATACGGTTCATACTTAAAAAATATCGATATAATTAACAATTGATAAGTTTTATCTTGTGATATGAAGCGGGCATAGTAGAAATATTGTGAACGGGGATACGTTAGAAGTTAAATTTGTTCTCTCCTTCTGGAGTTATATGTGGTTGAATTCTCTCCTTCTGGAGTTAGTTTTTAGGAGTGAATTATATCTAATCCATTTTATTATGGTATTAAAGTCAAGTTTGTTTGAGACGATAATTACGTTTGGACCCTGATCCTACGCGCCGAGAATGAAAAAGAGTATTTTTTAGCTGACTTTTGGGCTTAGCTTCTACCAAACCTATTTTAGGATGTATGTAACTTAAAAAGTAAAACATTGGATGAGTTAAATGGGTAGATATCAATAATAATATTTAACTTGAAAAATCAAAATAAAATGATGAAAACTTAAAAAGTGAAAAAGTTGAAGCTTAAAGCAAAAAAAAAAAATAAAAAAAATAGAAAAAATCAAGGGCTAGTTCTACTAGATTTAGTTACAAAGTCTAAGACTAAGAGTAGGTGTGTTCTGACACAAAGCCCAAACATTCCTATTTATATAATTCATTAATTAATTAAATAATTTGTAAATATTAATTGCAGGGAGATGAGATGATGTGGGCAGGGCCGGCGGAGGCCTGGCTGAGAGGCTTTGGAGAAGCGTGCCGCCTCTGACAATTTGATTTTGTATTGGAATTTAATTATGTCCGAACCCACACCTGTCTCTTTCTTATTGGCTGTCTCATTTTTAGGTCGGTACGCTCACCAGTTCTGACATCTACACTCTAACGAACTTATTAACTTCTGCACTTCTAACCCCATAGTATTAAGGAGGTAACGTTACCCATTTGTGGAAAAAAAAAAAAAAAAATGTGAGCCAAAAATCATATAAAAATGAGGTAATGTTACCTATTTCTTGATCGAATTTCACATCAATCTGTTATGCGAGTCTTTTTTTTAACTAACTATTTGAATCATCTTACGTGTACCTCTACTAATCTTTAGAACAAACTAGAGCAACAAACCACTGTTACAATTTCTCACTAAAATCGTGGATACTCAGATCAGAATCGAACCTGAGACTATGCATCTATCAATACTATCTCCAATTCGTCCTAACCATCTGGACTGCCTATATATGAGTTTATGTGCATTTCTCATTCTTTAGGATTATTGAGAAAACCCTTTAAGATTAGTAGAATAGTAATTGGGTCCGTTTGTTTCATTATTTCTTATTCTATTTTCAATCATATCCTTAAAATAAATGTTTATTTCATTATCCTCAAAATACTATTATATTTTCTTCAACTATTTTTAAATCCCTTAAGTTTATTAATTTAAATAAACACCCTCAGAAAAAAAGTTTAAAAATTAAGAAAAACACCTCCACCCCCCCACATTTGTCAGATTCCAGCCACCACCGTCAGAAGCTGGTCAGAATCTGGTATAATGGTACACTACCGTCTGGATCTGGCTAATAATATGCCGATTTATCATTTTCCGGCTAGATCTACGGCCAGATCTTTGGTCGTAATTGGTCGTCAATGACGACTAAAAATGGTCGTAGATCTGGCCTTCTACGGATCTGGCCAGAAAAGGCCATATCGGCACACGAACGGCCAATCATGCGCCATAACGCCAAATTCCGATGGTGGTGGCCGATGTGGGTGGGGGTGTTTTTTTGTCATTTTATAAAATTTTTATATATTGGGGTGTTTAGTAAATTAGCAAATATAGATGAGTGTTTTTATCAATTTTCAAATCCTACCTCGTTATTCCCACCCAACTTTAAAAATATCAAAAATCCTATCCAAAATACTAAAACAAACGGACTCATACTTTTTTAGATTGGTCCAATAGTACAAATTGGGAAAATTTAGAAGTTGAGTTGATGAACGTGTTATTATCCTGAATGCATGTGAGAGTTGGGCATGTTAAACGATTTGATGAAATGTATTTGGAGTATGATCCACATGGTGATGGTTTGGCTTTGTCTTTATGCAGAAATTTCTGGTTATTCCAATTTGACCTAATCATTATCATTCCACACAATTTTAGATTAGATTAAGATTAAGATTGAATATTAATTTGACAAACAAAACCACCCTATTGATATTATTCTTTAATCTTTGTGTTTTATTATTGTACTATTGACATGCATGTGCCCCTCCACCATCAACTCCGGGTCAAAAGTTGAGAGGACCCACCCACCCGCCTAAACTATTAAATCAAATACCACTTGTATTTTGTATTTTCTACACCTTTTACTTGGGCTTTTTAATATTTATTAAATTCACATTTTTCACAAAAAAAAAAAATATCTATAAAAAATGAGTAAAACTTTGTCGTTTTAACTTATTTAAGTCAACACTATCAAATACCACTTATGTGTTATGATTTGAAGTCTCATATCGCTTCCGTGTGAGAACAGTTGAGTGTTTAAATTGAGTTAATAAACTTATTCTTATAACAAATCTTTGAGGCAATGTCTTTTTCGGGGTTTAATGAAGTCAAATATTTTCATAGAAAAGTAGGTATACATTCATATAGGAAATTTTATTTCATTTGAAGACTTGAAGTCTACATTTCATCTTCAACATTGAATAAATAGCATAAAGAAGATGCTAATGTTGAAAAATATTCATTTGGATAATACCAACAGCCTTCTCGTGAGTTGGAGTAGGTATATAAATATCATAAATTTATAATGTGGATATTGTTTGTATATATATATAATTATTCTAAACTTATCATCTTATATCGTAGAAGTTGTATTTATCCCACATCCTTTGTAGGAGTGAATTCTATCTAAACCTGTTTATTATCATATATAACTGGGACTCCATCTTTTGTAAGATAGAATTGTTTAACTAAAGTTTAACCGGGAAATCTATTAACAAGGAAGAAGGGAGGTACTGATACGGTATGAAAGGTCTATTTGACAAAGAAAATTGTATAAAATAAGGACTTGTTTAAGTGATTTTCTCTCACTTTCTCTTTAAGTTGTGGCAATCCAAACATTTATATTCAATCAATATCAACAGTTTTTAGTACTTTTGAGTCTTTTAGCAAATTCCTTCACCATCAAACCTTATGAAGCTTAGCTTAACAGATGAAGTGTGGGTGGGAGTGGGACAATCCAGAAGCTGCAAAATAGTGAACTTCTGGTAGAATGTTGCTCTCACATTTTGACAAAATATTTGATGGTTTTGATTGGCTCAACTTGGTTAAGATATCCTTTCAAAATCATAACAATCTCTTGGATTCTTTCTTCTTTCTTGGATTCTTAATGTATTTTCACTATTTGGTATACCAAACTAAATCACCAACCGAAAGCCTACTTCCCATTGCAGATTTACATTCCTTTTTCTCTCCCTTTTTTGACTTGTGGTAACAGAACTTGTTGGACTCTCTGTTTACACTAAGAGGGATTAGTTAATTAATAGATAGTAATTAGTTTGAAAGTTGGGAAATTTCTAGACAAAGCAAAGTAGAATTGAACCATAATGATCACTTGACCAACACTTTTTTCTTTGTCACACTCACTTTGTCATGTACCAATACCCATTTGGAAATCAATTGTAGCTAGCAGGCCCAAAGCTTTTCCAGAGTCCATCCAAATGAAATGGTCACAATACAAATGATTTGTTCTACCTTAGATTTATGAGAATGAACATCATTTGCTTGTTCAATAACAACAGATTCTTGGCATCTGCTGCAAGTCTTGGACACATAACACAAGAACATGTTAAAAATCATACCCATAGGTGAAGTAGTTATCTCCCTCAAAGGGGATTCAAATTGTTATATTTACTATGACCTTTAAACATTCAAATGTTAAGATAAAAATCAGAAAATCACATCCAATAAATTGCCAATTAAACAATAGATATATAAGAAAAATAACCTAATGATACATGCAATCATGTACAATACGTACAACTTCGATCGATCAACTCCCCCGCACAATATATATACAAGCACCTGCAGTCTCCCATCAAACACTCTTCTGTGTCAAGAAAATGTGAAAATACCCAATTTAGGATTTAACCATTTAATCATGTATAAATCTTGCCTCCATGTACAAGTCACTCCTCAGCAGCCTTCTAGGCTGGTTTAGTTTCTCTACTGAAGTGTGATCACCAGCTGAACATGAGAATGATCACATTTGAGAATGTCAAAACCTCAATAATGTAACCATTTATAACTGCATATCCTTGAGAATATCTTCAACTAGATCTCCAATAATGTGACATTCCACCTCTCTTCCTAAAGCATTAGTTTCTTCATCCATCAAGCCAGACCAAGGGGTGGATCCTAAATCATCTGCCACCATGCTATCAAGTGAATAATAAGATCTGTCGGTTGGAGGGTATAAATATACACGAATAATTTCCCACACAGATTCCAACAATTTTCTTCCGTGTGGAGGTGGCAACATCGAAGAACCAATAATCTTTCTCCTGAATCTGGATTTGGTCACAGGTGGTCCTAGTATAGTTGAAAGTGCTTCATTCAATAAGTCAAGTAACATTTTGCGATCACCCTTCTTCTCAATATGTTCCTTTATCAGAACTTCATTTTCTTCCGCTAATTTTCTGTAAGATTCTTCCACTTTTTCGAAGACTGAGCTACTGATAGGCTTTGCAAGTGGATCCCACCTCGATAAAGATTTATCGGATGAGCCGTCATAAAAACCAGATGCAACAAGCAGGTCTCTTATGTAAGCTTCTGCCTGATCATCTAAGTCAACTATTTCAGACTCAGTTGGATCCTGTTCAACATATATGTCCTCTGGCAGGTTGTCAAGTTGACTCAGTTGTCTGCGCAGTTCTGTATGGTCAGCAAATAAAAAAAGGCTATCAGAAAAGAGTTTCATAAATCAGCTTACCTTTGTATTGATTCATATTTCAGTTTCAGTTGACATTTTAATTCTTGTGTTCACGAATGAGTGGACACCATATTAATGGGTGCATTCATACATACGTATCAGCATAATATTACGGAAATACATTTAAACATTCAAACATCAGATACATCTCTCTTTGTATTAAAGGAATAACATATTCATGAATATGCACACACATGTATATGTTATTATGTTGTGAATGTCTTTTCTTTCCCCAAATTTTTCACACAACACCAATAATCAAATTTCTAGCTCAGATGCCATTCTGAATAAATCAGGAAAGCAAGTCAAAACCTACAGTTCAAGAAATTCTTGGTTCTTGAAAAACCATATTTCAGAATGTCAAGTATTTCAGCAAGGTAGTAATTGCATCATCAAAAGGCTTTAAAAGAAGTACATAATAACTAAATAATGAACAGGATCAACATCTGGAATTTTTCGCACAATTTCTGTGGTTGATACTGAGTGTAGGAAAAAGAGGAACATTAAATCTAGTCAACTGGTGATTCCCTCCATCGTCTTGAAGTGTATTAACAAGAAAATTCATCTGTTTGTCTATAATTTTAAAATCCATGACATCATCAAATGGCTAATTTGGCACCTTGAAGATATTTAGCCATGAAATCAAGTCATAGGCAAACATCATCACTGAATTCATGCATGCACCACATTTGCAGCATCAAGACTCTCATATGTAATCTATATAAAAGCCTTAGAAATAATGTTTCCATACCATTCAGATTAGAACTGATCTCTCTAAAAACTTGTGGCATAGAATTGTCTTCTCCCGGAGTCACATCTGGTGTTGATATTGGACTGAGATAATCCACTGGCCTCCAAAACTCTTCTTGAGAGCTACTGCAGACAGACGCAGGGCTAGGAGGCACCTCAGTGGAGTTTTCCTAAGACCACATGACAGCGGATATGTTAATTAGATACAAGCAGAGATGCTTAAGCAAATCCATAACACGGAAAAGTCAAGAAAGAAGAAAGAAAATGAAAGAAAAAGATTCTACTCTTACATGCCTCTCGCCAGAGTTCATGATCACTGTTGGTCCACTGAGGATATCTTTTACAGGATTATATTCAGAGCCATGAAATTCTGTCATTGACTGAATCTTCCGACCAAACAGCCTTCGTCTAAGAGTGAAAGTATATCTGAAATTGGAAACTCTTTCTCTGAAATTAAACCGCTCTTTCTTCCTTTTTCTCACATCCACTAAAACATTGTCAATGGCTTCATGCTTCCTCCTGATTTGGGCACCAGTTAAAATATGACGGTCCTCTAGAAGAAGCTGCCCAAATGATGTTCCCGATACAGGGGCTGACAAAGACCTAATGAGATTTCTTGGAGACAATTCTCTGTTCAGCACTCCATTGTCATCTCCATGTCTGAAAGATCTCGTTTGCATTTCTTGTTCATTTCTCTCAATTTCCCAGTGATTCAACTCATTTCTAGCCATTGAGGTGTCTCCCGATTGCTTTAGCCCAACCCTTCCATTATCTAGTAAGGAAGATCTTGATCTGCCACTAACAACTTGGGGAGCATCCGAACGCGTTTCTCTCTTCAGAACATTCCTTAGTCTCTCTGAGAGGAATCTCCTGGTATCCCTGTTGATGAACTCTGGGGAACCTGGACCATTGAACTGAATTTCACTTCTATATGATCTTGTTGATTCTGATCTGAGCAGATTCATTCCAAGGTCTCTAGTAACACTCTCTCGGACATGCTTTGCTATATGCTGAGCAATCTGTTTTGGATTTGATGGCTTTTCACTGAAAGGGGTTTCAATTCCACTTCCTCTGACCACTGAACCTTTTTTAAGAGTTTTACCCTGCAGTTCGCATTTTAGTCGATCCTTCACCTCCTCAAGAAAATCTTCTATACTACTTCTCTCCTCTAAAGTGCCCATGGAACTAGTCCAGGATTCATCATGGTCATAAATCTTATCAGGACCGGGCTTCAAGATCACTATCTTTGTAGGAGCAGTGTCCAGTTTCTCTTCATAATTCAACAGGGAGGATTGCTGAAAGTCTACACTTTTGCTTCTGCTTCTTAAAGGAGTAGATTCCTTCTGCTCTATGGGGAAGGATTCCACTTTATGTCTGTGATGTTGTAAACCATCCCTGTCATATGATGTTGATTTTAATGTTCGACTCTTTGATTCTACAAGCTTCTCACTTGAATTTGCCCAAGAATTTGCATAAATCGCCTTATTTTCCCTGTTGAGGTTCTCTTGTACAAGCCACTGTCTAGGCATGCTGTCAAAATCAACAATCTTTGAACATTCCCTAAACCTGGCTGCCTGCCAAGCCTCAAATTCTTTCTTGAACTTCTGTAGTTCCTCCTCTTGTGGATGTTCTCGAGGCCTTGGCCTTCCAAAATTCTCACCATTGCTCCATCTATCAGCATCTCTGTCTTTACTCGGGTAAATGGAGTCGAGTTCCATATGCCTGGAAGAATCTGTGTTAAAAGAGAAATGATCAACTGAGCTCCTTCCATTCTTTTTCGAAATCTTGCTTCCTGCTTGCTCATTCTTCTTTTCAATAGGCTGAATTACAGGTTTTGTATCCACTGGAAGTACGTCCATCCCCATCAGTCTAGCCACAATGCTAGGTGCACTTTGTCTGGTGTTAGATTGTTTAGATATTTCCTCATTAATTAATTTCTTCATTGAAGTCTCGGTTGGATAAGAGCTCTTTTTAGACCAGTCTTCTTCCAATGGGTAAGAATACTGAATTCATGGAAAAGAACATTTGAATTTGTAAGCCTAGAGGAAGTGTGAAAATGTTAATTTATTCATAGAACTTAGTCTGCCTCGAAGTAGCAAAAGAATGCAAAGTGTAGAAACAACTTATTATAAATGACAAGAACACTTTCTACAAGACTCTGAACTTGGAATAAAAACCAGAAATTGAAACTGAAGAGAGAATATAAAAGTGAAACCATAAGGCACCTAATTTCAACAACATAAGGCCAAATTTATTATGCAGTATCACAAAAGAAGTCACAATTTCAAGGACCCAGAAGCATTGTTAAACAGAATAAGAGCAATATAAAGCAAATCTTACTGGCACATCTCCTACTGCAGGATAGGTGTTCGAATTCTCTACTTGCAATTCCAAGCTATTCCGAGGAGCTTCCAAACCTGCACAACAGTTGAATCAACAGCATTACTTTTCTAAGCCAAGAAGGGGAGATAAAAATTAAAAAAGATTAAAAAATTAAAAAAAGACATAAATTGAAGTTAATTTATCCCATTTGATAGCAAAAGAGCTTGTCATTCTATGGAAAATCGTTAACCCTTTCAAAGGTGCAAAGAAACTGGGGCATCTCCTCTGTCTAAAGAGCCTAGATATGTCTTGCTTGACTTTGAAACTTCTCCTTAAGAGATTAGACAACCAATTTTATATCAACATAAAATTTAAAGCTGCTGATAGGATAAGTCATAATATTGCCACAAAATCAACAAGCTGTGCCATTATGGCCTTCGGCGATTAAAAGGGAAATAAAGTAAATCAAATGAAACTCTTAATTCAGCTCGTACACAAGTCATTCTCGAACCAAGATTTCTTATTTTATCTACAGTTTTCCATGATGAGTACTAAAGAACAATATTACTTACCATCAGCATGTTTCTTATGTGCAAGAATTTTCCTGGCCATACTGCTCTGATTGAAATCAAAAAAGTGCAACAAGCGTCCCATGCAGCCAAGAAATTCTACCAAATCGCTTTCATTTCCTTGTTACTGCTGCATCATCTAACTCTACCCCATTAAAATCCAGAGAAACTTCTTTCTTTCTTTCACCAAATGTGGACACAGATTTCTGTATTCTGCAAAGAATCAAATTAACTCCATATCACCTAAAGACAATAAAAGAATGCCAAGAACAAACTCGTTGAAACTTTGATTATCAAATTAAATCAACAAAGAAATTCAGTTTCATATAAGCAACTCTTAATTAATAACATAAAACATTCTCATGGTCCAATAATAAAACCTGAGAATAAATACATTTGATCAAAAGGCTTGATCTTGTGTTCTAAGCCTCTAAATTATGCCATTTTCACTTTCTTTTTTTGTTCCTTCTTCTGGGTTCTTGATTGCAGTCCAAAATTAAAACTGATAATTACAGTAACATTTATGCAATCCAGAAAATAAAAAATAAAAAAAAGTTGCCGACAGTTTAGGATGGGATAAAGCTGGAATTGAAAATAATGCAGCGTCAAATCACATCTTATTCCCCAATTCATGGGCATCAAGACAATTACAGCAAAAAATTCAATATTAATTAAAGGTACTCCGTACTACACATTAAACACCACCGTAAAAACATCATAAATTTAAAAAGAAAAAAAATTCTTTTAATCATCAAGCAATCAAATTAAGAAACTGGAAAAACCATACACCTGTTTCCAATTAACAGAACTATATCCATGAACCTAAATTCAGAAGTCAGAAGCCTTTAGTAAACTTATAACTTAACCCAGAAAAACAAGTTGAATTACACCACCAAACCAGAGCAAACCCACCATGAAAAAAACCAAAACTTTACTCAGAATCTCAAAAACTTAAAAACAAAACAACAACTTGATCGTAATGCAGAACAAAACACCAAAAAAGAAAAAGGTTGAAGACACTTTCAGGTTCGTTTCCCACACTCTGCAAAAGCACGCACTTAAAAACTCGACACCTGGAACATTCATCAAACTTACCGTTGAGACCAAATCAAGAAGAAACATGAAGGGTGAGAAGTGAAGTTGATGATTAAACAGAGGATCTTGGATGAACAAGAACAAGAAGAACAACAACAACAGTGGAAACTTGAAAAAGCAGAAGAATTGTAACAGTTGAACGTAAAAGCTGAGAAGCTAATAATAATAAGAATAATGATGAAAGTGGTGATGATAAAATTAATAATAGAGACGAAAAAGTTAGCTTTTTGTAGGGGAGTTCATGGCTAGACTGAATAAGCTATAAACCACCCAGCAGAAAGCGAAGGTTCCATATTTTTTATTTTTTATTTTTTTAAGATACTTTTTTTCATGTAATAATAATAATAATAATAATAATTATAATAATAATTATTATTATTATTATTATTATTATTACTTCCTTGTTAATTGAAAGCTATATATTATAATCATGTCGTTTTGGACCACTTAGGATTATAAAGGATGTCGTCTTGTTGTGTTGTGTGGTCGCAATCTCTCATTTAATTTCATTGACTAACCAATTTTTCATCTCATTTAAAAAATATTTTTAAGAACATTTTAACAAAAAAATATTTAAATTTGTTTAATTTATTTAAAAAATAGTATTTAAATTGTTACTACATAAAAAAAATAGTTATTAATATAAATGATAATACGAGGAGTCAAAAACAAAAGAAAAAACAAACGTAGATGGCGTGAAGAGAATTAAATTATATAATTAAGAATTAATTAATATAAATTAAGTGTAACGAACAGCTCATGGACAGTTGATTCTGCGCACGACACTTCCATTTGGCGCCATAAAAAACGGAGAGTATTATATCTATTTTGTTTAATTGTTATTCCCTGCGTATCCAACTCATTACCCATCATACACCATCGTCAATCAGAGCCGTCTAATTGAATATTTTAATCAAGTATTTTTTTTATTAGATTTGATTGGCCACTTTGTTTGACCATTAGGTTTCGCTGTTTTAGACTTTTTTGTTTCGTAACTACTTTGACATACACGGTTTGTTGTCCCTATTCACACTTCGACTACTCCTGGAGGAGATTAACGGGATCGAGATTATATATTCGTCAAATTAACTTATAAATTCTAAAATTAATTTTATAATTTTATAATATATTTTTATTTTTATATTTCAAACCGGTTATATTATTATAGTATTATTTTTAATCATTTTAATAATAAAATGTACTTATAAACCATATTTTACCAAACGCGTCAACTACTTATCAATCACTTATAAATACTTTAACCAAACACGTAACTGCTTAAATTTCAAATGCTTATAAACTCAAATTAGCTTATAAGCTCAGACAAACACCCTCTTAATAACCTATTGAACCTGATATCGTTCAGTTATTCATACTATCTCTTATTCGTCATAGCCATTTGGGTTATCCACAGATGAGTTCAAAATTCAAACTTGATCAAATACATATTACAAAATACAAAGACAACATTCGTGTATACATTCTACCATATTCTTTCATGAAAATATCGAATCGAAGATATTACGCTTGTATATGATAATAGACATGGAAAAGTGTATAATTTACATGTGGAAAGAGTAACAAAGCTGATGTTACATTAAAATGGTAGTTTTATTTGACCAGTAATAGTATTTGTATGAATGAGATTTAATGTAAGAAGAAGCCTCCACAGGTTAGGTTGGGGACATGAGTGGTTATACATGGAAGAACTAAAACAAAGAGGAGAAGAGTGTTGAAGGAAATCAGGAATCGTATACCAAATGAGTGTAAAGAGAAAGAGAGGGGCGGGATTCCCAAGGAAAAGGCAAAAATAACAACTCATGAAGATGATGAAGGTGGTGGTGGTGGGGGCTAAAGGGGGGGTTTAGTTGTAAAGGGGGGAAGTAGGGACTAGGGACGACGACGAAAGCCTCCTTATCTAATGATGTTAAAGGACGTCTGTCATGTGGGTGAGTTTAGGTTAATGTGTGATTGAATCATAGCATTATTGGGGCCTTATGAGTTAGGCTAACTTTTGATTGAGAACAACGTGGAACAACAAGACTAGGGGGGGAAGGACAAAAGTTTATTCATTGTAAAGTTGCATTGTTCCATTATTTTTGGGGGCGGCTTTCTGTGTTGTTAGGGAGCTTCCTTATCAATACAATGGACCACCTGTCCCCAAAGTGCTTCCACTTTGGTTCTGTTGGCTTTTGAGCTCATAATAACAATTGGGTTGTCTTCTTTCCTTTTAACGCAAACCCACAATCACACAACCAAACCTTAAATTACTTCTTCTGAGATCATTTAATATAAACCCACTACCATATGAAAAGTGTTAGGTTCACACCCCAATCTCACTTCGTAATTCGTCAACTCAAAAATTGGTCACATCTACTTACTATAGGTCCTGCCTATCTGACTAATTGCGAGCCGTTATGTCTTATTGGAAGAGGGGGTGGTTTTGATGCTTTTGAAAAAGGGGTTTTTTCGTATTCTTTTTTATAATTAACAGAGTATATAAGAATTGGGCTGGTTTCCACTTTGGTTCTTATGTTTCTTGGGCTGATAATAAGAAATAAGCCTTCGATCCTTTTAACAAAGCCCGCAGACCTTAAGAATTTGGATTACCCTTGACATAGCGCCATGAACTTCTGTAAAAGAAGGCCCATAAGTCAATTTCATTTTCATCCACATTAACATTATTGTTGTGATGTCATAGTTTACAAGGGTATTTTAGTAAATATGGAAAAAAAATTTAATCTATTTTATAAAGATATTGTTCTTACATCACATAATCTTATTAATATCATGATATCACAATTTTTTTCTCACCTAATTATCACTTCACGTATCATTTGTCACGGATCTAGAGTTTCAACAAGGTAGAACAGCCCGTGTAGCACCCCAACGTCCCACTTGAGAGTGAGGTAAATCTAAATGTACGTCGTTCATCGGTTTGAAGTTTATTAGTTTCATCATGCATAGACTTATTAAGGAAGCGACTCCCAACTCTCAACCAGTTTGTACATGGATGGTCTAATCCCTTATTCATTGTCGACTATAAAAAAAAACAACTTTTAATGGTTCCCATAGTCCCCTTTCATTGAGAAAATACATTTCAGGTCTCACTTATGACACCCCATATATATATAGGACAAAAATATTCTAAATAAATGTGTTGGATTTTGTGACTTTATAATACCATTGATATTGACCATCAGCAACATGTACAAACGTTACATATTATAAAATTTATCATATCCATTAATTGTTGAGCAAAATTAGTACAATTTGAATCAAATAAAGTTCTTTCCTCTCAAAACAAATAAAAAAAGAAAAAGAATTCAATTGACGTTACACAAAATGAAAGGCAAAAAAGTTGGCAGCTTTCGGTATTGCCACGTAATCTCACCAAATAGCTGGGACCCAAGTAAAGACCCCACACAATCAGATCATATCTTCCACGTGTTACTTCTTAACTTGTCCTGGGACGGTCAGTTTCTTATTTATTGTCGTGTATCGTTGAAGTCACATCGTCAAAACAATTTCTTTTCTCATAGATCACCTAATCAACCTCCACGTGTCCGTATCACCTTCGTCTTCATAAATCTCCAAAATAAAACTATAAAAAACCGCTCAGTTTTTGTCAGTCAGTGTTATCAAACAAACTGCAATCGGCCTTGTTTTCACTCACTCGTAAACAAATCTCTCTCTCTTGTCGGTTATCTCAAGGCAGCAGTGGACAGAGTCTCTTGCTTTTGCTGACTCTTTCTAATTCAGTTTTCGTTTTTGCTTTTTGTGTTGACTGAAAATTTGAATCGTCATCTCGATCTTGAAGCTTTGATTCTCAGAAATGTTGAAGAAGCTGGTGGAGAAGGCTTCTATGAAGAAGGTAACTCAAACTGATTCGTTTGTTTGATCTATCTTTTCTCTTATCAATTACTTCTAATTATTTCGGTTTATTTGGAATCTTTTCTTTTTCTTTTTGAGTTTTTTGTTTTTAGAAAATGATAATGCTGCGGTCGTTGCCTTGATAACTCAATAGAAGATTTAGGAAACATAAACGGAGAAATAGAAATTGCTTGATTTTCAGTTTCAGTTGACATTTAATTCTTGTGTTCACGATGAGTGGACCATATTAATGGGGCATTCATACATAGTTCAGCATAATATTACGGAAATACCTTTAAACATTAAACATCAGATAATCTCTCTTTGTATTAAAGGAATAACATATTCAGAATATGCACACAACATGTATGTTATTATGTGAATGTCTTTTCTTTCCCCAAATTTTTCACACAACACAATAATCAAATTTCTAGCTCAGAGCCATTTGATAAATCAGGAAAGCAAGTCAAAACCTACAGTTCAAGAAATTCTTGTTCTTGAAAAACCATTTCAGATGTCAAGTATTTCAGCAGGGAGTAATTGCATCATCAAAAGGCTTTAAAAGAAGTACATAATAACTAAATAATCAACATTCAACATCTGGAATTTTTCGCAATTTCTGGGTTGATACTGAGTGTAGGAAAAAGAGGAACATTAAATCTAGTCAATTGTGATTCCCTCCATTGTGAATGTATTAATAAGAAAATTCATCTGTTTGTCTATAATTTAAAATCCATGACATCATCAAATGGCTAATTGGCCCTTGAAGATATTTAGCCATGAAATCAAGTCATAGGCAAACATCATCACTGAATTCATGCATGCACCACATTTGCAGCATCAAGACCTTATATGTAATCTATATAAAAGCTTAGAATAATGTTTCATACCATTCAGATTAGAACTGATCTCTCTAAAAACTTGTGGCATAGAATTGTCTTCTCCCGAGTCACATCTGGTGTGATATTGGACTGAGATAATCACTGGCCTCCAAAACTCTTCTTGAGAGCTACTGCGAAGACGCAGGGCTAGGAGGCACCTCATGGAGTTTTCCTAAGACCCATGACAGCGGATATGTTAATAGATACAAGCGAGAGTGAAGCAAATCCATAACACGGAAAAGTCAAGAAAGGAGAAAGAAAAGAAAGAAAAAGATTCTACTCTTACATGCCTCTCGCCGAGTTCATGATCACTGTTGGTCCACTGAGGATATCTTTTACAGGATTATATCAGAGCCGTGAAATTCTGTCATTGACTGGATCTTCGACCAAACAGCCTTCGTCTAAGAGTGAAAGTATATCTGAAATGAAACTCTTT